TGTGAGTTTCATTGAATGCCAAAGGTGACCTTTTTATAGTCATCATTGCATTAAATGTTTTTTGTCCAACTTTTCTTTTTGTCTTCTTCTGGTTGGTTGATCCATATATCTTAGTACTCCTCATTTCAACATTTGAGTTTGATGTAGACACTATTTTAACTTACTTTATCCTTAAGTATGTCAAAACTCAGAAGGAACAATTTAGCAAACAAAGTACCAATCACATGGTGTGTTGTACTTGCTTAGGCTGATATGTTGTATACGTTCTCATACCAAGAAAGAAAGTAAGTGAGTTGGTGAGGCTAAATTTGCTGGCCAAATTTGTACTTCAAGATTCGGCTTGCTAGTAATAGTATTTGTCAGAATACTAGTTGATTTTTTATCTTATACTAATCTTCTTTCGGCTAGATGACAAACTAATCCGCTTTGTGACGATCTTGATCTCACTTTAACTAGTCTTCGATTTTGTTGAAAGCATTATTCTCTTGGATCAATACAGATAGTTATAAGACTATTACAAGTAAAAATCCTACCTTTTTCTATATCCAAACTGTAAGCCACGTATTGGATTTACCAACTATAAAACATTATGAAGGTGCTTCATCGGATAGTCTTTGAGTTGGTAAAACATAAACCCTTTATCCGATAGAAGATTATATCTGATTGGGATCCGTTGAAAGTTATAATTATAACCAACTGTTTAGAGATCCGATGAGTTTTATATCTGAAACCTAGAACAATAAGGTCGGATGATATCAAGATAGGAAATATCCGATGAGTGAAGTTCATCGAATATATACCTTGTTGAGACAAGGAAAACAAGAATATTTATTTCTAATGTGTTATTGAATGTTTATAAGTATTATTATCAAATTTGATGGTTGAGACCAAGAAAAAGTTTATAGGGTTATGACTTAGAAAAAACTGCCCATATGAATAATGGTCTGGGAAGATACTAAAACTATTCTATATAAGAATATGAGGTTGTAATGCTTATGTTAAATAATATGTTTCTAAAAGCTTGACCCTAAGTATGAAAACTGCATCTTTGTGGGATATCCAAAAGAGATAATTGGATATTACTTCTACAAACCCAGTGAGAACAAAGTATTTGTTGCGCGATGTGTGAGTTCTTAGGGAATGATTTTCTAACAAGAACTACTATGGGGATAGAGTAGAACTTGAATAAATTCAATAACCACAAGATCATACTATGGTTGGAAACTCACCATCAACAAGATGTTGAACCTCCAAAAGTTGTTGAGGAAAATGACGAGGTACAAACAATTCGAAGATCGGGTAGGGATCATCAAGAGCCTTAGTGACATGATTATCTTATTGTCGGTGACAATATAGTTCATGATGAACTTGTAACCTACCAGGAAACCGTATCAGGAGACAACCAAGTTTGAATTTTGGTAGATGCACCTACTGACTGCAAAGTCATCGGGTGTAAGTGGGTATTCAAAAGAAAATTGCATCGATAGGATTGTACATACTTATAAAGCTAAGTTGGTAGAAAAAAGGTTTAACTCGGACTCATGGAGTAGATTAGATGAGACTTTTTCTCTGGTAGCTATAATTAAATCCATCAGGATACTTTTAGACATTGATGTGTATCACGATTACGAGGTATGACAGATGGATGTTAAAATCACGTTCCTTAATGAAAACTTTGAGCAAGTATGTATACATGGTTTTAAGCATCCAAAGTATCCTGAAAATGTATGCAAGTTGCAGAAGTCCATTCATTGACTAAAACAATCATATCGTGGTTGGAATCTTGTGTATACAAGAAGGTCAGTGGGAGCATAGTAGTATTCTTGATCTTATACGTGGACAACATATTGATCATCCAAAACGACATCCCAACGCTTGAGTGTAACTAGGGAAATGTTTCGCAATGAAGAATATGGAAAAGCTTCAAGATCCTTGGCATAAAGATCTTTAATGTGGCATGTATCCTTGGCATCAAGATCTATCGAGATAAATCTAAGCGCTTAATTGGATTAAGTTAGAGTATATACATTAACAAGATCTTGAAACGCTTCAAGATATAGGTTCCAAGAGAGAGAACTTATCGATGGTACATGGTATACAACTGAGCAAGTCCCAATGTCCTAGTACTAAAGTCGACATAAACCGTATGAAGGTTTTTCCCTGCGCTTTTACCATTGGTTCAATATGTACGCCATGTCATGTTCTAGACCAGACGTCTCGTATGCTCTAAAGCATGACGAGCAGATTTATCAATCAAGCCCAGGTGATGTTCACTGGATAGCAGTAAAAAATATCCTGAAGTATCTGAGAAGAACTAAGGATATGTTCTTACTGTACAACGGCCATGAAAGAGATCTGTGTATCCAAGGGAATATAGATGCTAGTTTCCAAACCGATCGATATGATTTTAAATCGTTGTCGGGGGATATGTGTTTATAGCATATTCAATTACAAAATTGGTAGATCCTCTCTCAAAGCCTATGAGTCAAAGATAACATGATGCTCACCCTAGTGCAATAGGTGCAACCAGAGTCACATGAGCTTGTATAGAGAACAAGTGTTGGACAAGACCTATAGTAAGGATCACCTCATATATCGGCGTCATAAGATGAGTCCTAAAATGGTGGACACACTTATCCTCAAACCTGATATGTGTATCGGAACCTAATGTACAAGGAGTGTTATACTTTGATATAGTCTAATATTACCCTTAACTGGGTAATTATAAGAGCTATATTGGGAATAAGATGAATTTTGTATAAGTCATGTACATGAAATATGGGATTTGCTCATTTCAAGTTGAGAGATATATTTTTGGGTCCCTCGATGACATAGATTGATTCACATGGCCATAGACAAGTGGATTAGTTAAACTAATAGCACCTATATGAATATATTGGGATTGAGAAACATAATCTTTGAACTGAAAGGTAAGATAAATCTATGCATCAGACCATTAAATAAGTAAGTGAGACGGGCGGTGCGTACAAAGGGAATGAACGTAGTTAACGCGAGCTGATGACTTGCGCTTATTAGGAATTCCTCATGTTTAAAACCAACAATTGCATGATTTATTCACATCTTAAGTTCAAAACAAAATATCATGAAGCAAAAAGATAATGAATGATATTAGCGTATGATTGATTCGATCAATCAAATTGCTTAAAGGAAAAGCACGTTTATATAGCCTTGAGGAAGTTGACGTGTTGCTAGAAGCTTACCACCATTTGTGTTATTGTATATCATGTGCACGTGTGAGAATATAAGTTATTATATGCCCACGACAAGTATCACACAATAATACTGTTGGACAGTATGTAAACCTATAGGGTCACATACAAATAATACTTTTGTTTCCATTTGTAGAAACTAAGATTAAATCAAGTTCATTTTGGATATAATTATTTTTGAAGGATAATTATGAAAATATGTGTTGATACGTAATTATAATAATTACACGGTGTTATCTGTAAATATGTATAGTTATATTAAAATTTAAGATAATTACATATGTATTAGAGATAACTAGAAGAGTACTCGCGCAATACAACGAGACACATCTCGATTTTAATATTCTATTTTATTATTCATCTCTGTCAATGTTATAATACAATTTTTTGTATTTTTATAAAATCAATAATGATTTTATTTTTGAATAAAATATAAATTTGAAGATATCATAAAATTTTGAAAAAAAATCAATGTTAATATCAAATCAACTATTAAAAATTTCTATTTTTTTATGTAATTTCTCTAAATTTTTTATTATAATTTAATTTAAGTTTAATAACGAAATAATTTATTTTTGGTTTAATAAAATAATATTTTATAAAGATAATAATTAAGTATTCGGTTAGAACTCAATGATTATTCTATTTATATTTTATATTTTTTATATTTAAAATGAGATGTTTATCCTGTATTTGATTATGTTTATCTGCAATTACACGAATTCAGATATGGAGCTTTAATAAGTTGTACTTACGCACAATCTACTTACAATCTTGAGTTTTAAGTAATATGCATTAATAAACAGTACTTTACGCATAAAAATGGTTTTTAAGAGTTTTTATTAAATGCTTTATAATATAGTATAGATTATTAAATCTTATTTTGAATTATAATCTATTTATAATTCAAACTATAAATAAGGTGCTAGGCTAAATTAATTATGAGTGATTGAATTTTTTTAGAATTTAGCATTTCAGAAATTATCCTGAATTTTTTTTTCTTCTTTGCAATGCACATAGATCTTGGGTTTTCGGGATAGCACCCGGTGGGAGATTTGAACGTGTCCGTGGATGGGTCATTGATAGAGGAAACCTCTGTTGGTTTCTTGGTGCTCCGTCAAGATCTATATCGGTTCAGAAAATGTATAATTTTGAACACCCTATGGTGTGTAATTTAATTAAATGTATCATTGGATTCGGCTATAGATCTTCTGTTAGAAAAGATTTCTAAATTATTATAACCAAAATTTGTTTTTCTTTCATCTGCGTTAAACAGTTACAAATTGATCAAAACCTAACAGCCTAATACAAGACAGGTCCAAGGTTCGATCATGGACCCAACTAATCTCAGCAGTTGAGTGAACCAAAAAATGTCCCTCACATTAGTGTCATTCAAGGTGAGTTATGTGTGAGACCGGTTGCTTTTCCCGGTAATAGGGCTACACATGGGTTGGGTTTTCCGATAACAGGGATGCACATGGGTTGGGTTTGCCGGTAATAGGATTGCATAATTGTTGGGTTGGTCGGGTTGAAGACATGTGAACAAACCAAACCAGTATTTATAGTTTGAAAAATGTCAACCCAACCCAACCCAACCCAACCCAACCCAATCCAAATACAAATTTATAAAATATATTAGATCTAACTATTTTAAACTTTTAAAAAAGCAAATTTCAAAATAACAATCGGGTCGGGTACTAATCCACCTTGAATGGTGGTGCTTCACCACCACAGAACCATTTCCAACGTTAACGAAGATGCTGAGGAGGAACCCAACCAAAATCGAAGTCAAGATTGAAGATAAAGAAGAACTCGAAGAATCTCGCCGCCGCCCCGCCGCCGCCGCCACCTTCAATCCCACCGGAGCTACCTCTCTCCTCCACCACTTCAACAACTCCTCCTCCTCCGCCACCAACTCCAAATCTCACCGCATAGGCCTCTCCTCTTAATCATCATCACTAGTTTTACCTTTTTATTCCTGCAGTTTCTGAGAATCTCTTAACAGATCCAAACCCTAATCCACCATGGAAGTCGAGGTGAAGCTCCGCCTGCCCGATTCCGAAACCTACAAAACCATAATCTCTCTCCTTTCCCCTTTCCACATCAAAACCCACAATCAACACAACAATTTCTTCGACGGCGTCGACGGCCAACTCTCCGTCCACCGTGCAATCCTCCGCCTCCGCTTCTACAACGACCAACCCACCACCAAATGCATCATATGTCTCAAAGCCAAAGCTGTACTCGTAGACGGCGTGAGTAGAGTCGAAGAAGATGAAGAAGAGATCGATCCGTCAATTGCTCAAGAATGTTTAACCGATCCGTCTCGATTGGGGTCTCTAGTAGAATCTTCAAGAATCATGAAAAGGGTAAAAGACGAATTCTTTCAGGAAACTAACGATAACGATGGATTAGGGTTTGTGGGTTTGGGTGGGTTTAGGAATTTGAGGAATGTGTATGAGTGGAAAGGGTTGATGATTGAAGTGGATGAAACAAGCTTCGATTTCGGTACATTATATGAGATTGAATGTGAGAGCAACGAGCCAGAGAAAGCTAAAGAATTGATTGAAGAATTCTTGAAGGAGAATGGGGTTTCTTATTCCTATTCAGTTGCTTCAAAGTTCGCAATTTTTCGATCTGGGAAGCTGCCATAGTAAGTGAAATCATCAATTCTTGTGTTACAATCACATGTTTACTGTATTGTTCTTGTTGATTCAGTTCATGTTTGTGCATTTCTTGTTTAAAAGTGCTTGGTGAACTAATAGTTTGAACTCTTTTGGTCCATAAGTTGCCAATGATAAGTGAAATTCAATGGGTTTATATCATTTGTATTTTGTTGCTATGTTTTGGGTAATCATCTATCTATGTGAAGGTGTAAGTTTCACTTTCTTGGTGTTTTTATAGAGTATTTGGGTACTTTGGGATTTATATATGTTTTGTAAACCATTTCTTGTAGTTTTAGGACTTAGGGGTTGTTTGTTTACCTCTTAATAGTTTCATTAAGAGGCAGCCTCTGAATCGTTAAGAGGTGAATCTTGTTTGGCAAAAAAAGTGTGCCTCTTAATGGTTCTAAGAACCTCTGAATGATTTTGTATCCTGAGCCTCTCTTAACCATTCAGCGCCAACTAATTTCATTGTAAACAATTACCAAAATATTATATTTCATTTTGCACTATATCACGAGAGCTTTTTAATCATTTTGACCACTTAATCATTCTGCAACTGCCAAACAGTCTCTTAGACAACGTTGGTATACTTGTACACACCATTATAAGTGTGTTCTATTCCTTTTAACTTCTCGTTGTAATGATGAGTCCCTTTTTGTTGGCTATGACTTTATTGAGTTCTTGGAGACGGCATAACATGGTAGTCTGTATGTAGTTGAGTTCTTGTAGGAATCTATTAGGTATTCTAGTTGCGGGTGGAGGAGGGTATAGGGTCAACATGTAGGTGTGTCGTGCCGTAGGATAGATATATAAGGGAACCTTTTGGAGTGTTTTGTGTGCTTTTTAGCTAGAGTTTGATTGCTTAGCTTGGCTCGTTCGTTTTTATTTCCTTTCACCTTTAAATTTTTCGTTTATGTCGGGCTTTTTGCAATCTTTTCTAAACTTCCCTTTATAACTTTTATTCTTCTTTGCAAAACCTTGGCTTCTAGCTATGCTTTCTAAGTCTTTTTCACAAGTTGATGGTCTTTTAGGAAACAATCAATCTAATGCAGGGGAGACGAAGGATCGTGTGAGAATAAGAGTTAATGTGAGAAGTGTAAGAAGGGATTTGGACCCCTTAATCACTTTTAATCTCAATAGCAACCCATGAATTGTGTTTTAGAAGGGAATTGATACGGTGTGTCTCATTAATGTTGATCTAGTGGAACTCTTTTATTAGGATTGATCCAAGAGTGGAGATCCTTTCTTACCCTTCTCACTATAACTCTCATTCTCATCGGAACCCAACCGTGCAGGGGAATGGTTTGCATATATCTTTCGCTACCGACCCTACCTTTAGATAGGATATATTGGGTTTGTTTGGTTTGGTGTATAAACCAAACCAAACCAACCCTTGTGGGGTTGGTTTGTACGCAGACTTGACCTCGAAGAGTAGAGCGGCTGTTTCATGATTAGTTGCTACCTTCGGCTTGTGCAAAGTGTGTGAAACAATAAAGCTTGCTCAGAAAGTTTGTGAAGAACTTGAAAATACAAAGGCAATGCTAAGATTTGGAAATAACTAAGGGGCCGTTTACCTAAATGCTTACCCGGTAAGCTCTTACTGTTACGAGTTAACAACTTAACATTGTAATTTATTTTACCGTGTAAGATTGTAGTACATCAAAATGATATCGCATGCAACAATTTATCAGGTAAGCGCTTACCCGCGTAAGAGTCATCACATTCACTTACCGAGTAAGACTCTTCATCTTTATCATTGCTCTTATCGGGTAAGATTTTTTTACTCTTGCCATGTTCATCCAGTAAAGAAAATTACCCAGTAAGCACTTATTGGATAAACATTTAGTAAACAGCTCCTAAGGTAGTCTTAACTAGGACTGAGAAGCTCCAAGTGCTAGATCTGGATTCCTTAAGCTCCAAGTCTTCCCTCTCAACTTATCCGTGATGTGTGCAACTCTCAACTAATGTTTGGTTTATGACCGTGTTGAGTCTAAATTTTTCTTTGGTAACCTACTTCTTTTATGTCGTTTAACACACAAACACAAACACGCGCACATGCACACATGTATATAGACTGATGTGTATGTTGCATACCTCTTTATATTTCTCTTGATTTAGATATGTCTTAACGGTTTCTCTATTTTCCGTTAGGTTATGGCAAATGGGACCGAGAGCACAAAGAGATCAGTAGCAACTATTAATAAGTTCTGCATGCCGGAATGAATTGCCCCAGACCATGTTATCGCATCCGGAAGCAATATTAACTCTCGCCATTCTCGATTTCATATGGCATAAAAGACGAGATACATTTGTTATCAAACAAAACATGTGTTTTCGACATCGGTTGGTCTTTTTTCTAAGGTTTCGGATTATCTCCATGAATACTACTAATATTAAGGGCATGTTAGTTTGGCAACTATATATTGAAAAGCTACGTTCCTCAGGAGCTTTTTCTGTTTCTTTTTTAATTTTTTTCCAATTATGGCTTGTAGTTTTTCAATTATTTTTTTTAATATTGCATTTTAGGTCATTTTATATTATCATCTAACTCATGACAAGGCTTTTTATATATCAAAAATAACCAATTTATCAACTAACTTAGGGATTGTTTGGCAAAGTTGAATGGTTTGGTGCAGAATGATTAAGAGACTTTTATGATATAGTGCAAAATGAAATATAATTGTTTGGTAATTGTGTACGATGAAATTAGGGCTCTTAATGGTTAAGAGAGTTCTAAGATACAAAATCATTCAAAGAGTTTTAGAATTATTAAGAGGCAGATTTCTTTTGCTAAACAAGATTCGCCTCTTAGCGATTCAGAGGTTGTCCCTTAATGGAACTATTAAGAGGTAAACAAACAACCCCCTTATTAGTCAAACGAGACGTAATATCTCTTTTTCACATTAGGAAGGGTAAAATGTATGCGAATAAAATTTCAACTTATATATTTGTTTTTGGATATCTTTATGATGATATTTAGAGCATTTCCAACAATTATGTTATAATTTGTCTGAATAGAGTATGAAAAATCAAAATCTCGAAAAAAATTACATCCAATTCCAACTACCTATTTTAACAATTCTAGTATTAACTATATTATTAACCACAAGGGTGGTGTCTGATTGGTTTGAGCTTAGCTCCAAAGGTCAAAAGTACCAAGAGGTCCTAGGTTCAAATTCAAGGAGGATTAAAAATCCCCTTGTGACCACGGAGGTTCAAATACAGTGACTCCAGGCTATCTGTAAAGCAGGTGATCGTCCTGGGATTAGTTGGCTGACATAACGGATTGGATATTCAGGTTAATAAAAAAAATTCAATATATCTATTAAAATATTATTTATTTCTTCTAAATATTTAATTTAAATACCTCTTTAAAGCATCAACAAGGGTCTTATAAGATGAACTAAAACACACAAATCTCAAGAGATTCAACCCAAGGAATGAAATATATGCATACCAATCTGTCCATGGCAAGAAAGCATGAAATGATAATCATTCTAAACAAAGGATTTGGATACTTAAAACCCTACACTCTGAAAACCCTCACAAGACAAACCTAAAATGCTTACCCTCCTTACTACATACTCACCCAAGCCCTGCAACTTTTTTACTTTCTCTTCTTAGCCGGTGGTTGTTCTTCCTCGTCATCATCTTCCTCCTCTTCTTCCCCCTCTTCCTCGTCATCATCGTCATTTCCATCTTCATCGTCATCATCGTCGTCATCATCTTGATTACCATTTGTCTCGGGAACCTCATCAGGATCTGCATCATCATCATCATCATCCTCTTCCCCTTCCTCCCCTGAGAAATCTTCATCTCCACCATCATCTGGCTCCTCTGCATCATCACCATCATCATCGTCATCATCATCATCATCATCCTCTTCCCCTTCCTCCCCTGAGAAATCTTCATCTCCACCATCATCTGGCTCCTCTGCATCATCACCATCATCATCGTCATCATCATCATCATCACTCCCATCTTTGGCTTCAGGTTCAGTCTTATTTCTCCTGTGAAGCTCAGAGAAAAGAAACCTGCAATCACCCATCAACGTATATCAAGTTTAGGTTGAGCGCATTCTGATTAATCCATGGGACCCAAAAATAACAGCCAGGAAAATCCTCAATGACCCTATGAAGACTCTAACTGGTGACCTATGGGGAGAGTTGCTAGTTGAGTTGGCCTTCAAGGTCTATCGAGTTTCAGATTTAGTTACCGAAAAAAGGGCAAACTATTTTTACTGCATAGATACAAGTGACCCCCATCAAGCATGAAAAAGAATCAATACCTCTGATCAGTTCCATTCAATGTTGGAGATGAAACTACATCCTTAAGCAGAGGTCCCGTCTGCAAGTGTAAACACAATTTCGCATTAGAACATAAAAGTTAATTTTCCCTTTTCTACTCTCTGTAATTAAGACATAATTAAGGAAAACATGTCTGAACATCAAAGCAGCAATAATTCATAAGTGAAGCAATTGCCTAAGGTCCATTGATATTGGTCAAGTTTCAAGAACCTTGTTGGTTTAAACCTTTTTAGAGACATTGGTGTGCAAGTCTGTTGACAAGTCACAACAATCTTTCAGACTAAATGCAGAGGCATGATCATAAATAAAATTAGCTGCGTGCTTTCCAGACTAAAGTTACAGCAATGTAAAATCTCTCGATTCAGAATAGAGATTATCAACTTCGAATAATTAACCTTAAATTAAAGAAAACACAACACAAAGACAAATAAATTAGTGTAAAAACTTGATTTCCGAAGAAGAAACTAAAGGTGAAGTTCAACTAAAGCCAAACTTTAACAAGAACCAACATAACATGATGTTCGAAAAATTGGATCACAGATCAAAAGGATCCAAACATCAAACACCTGGTGGGCATCCATAAACAGCTAAACTCTAAGCTGAGGTGTGGCAAAACCATGATTATGCAACACCAAATAAATTAACAAAACAAAGAAAAATGTTTTTTCACATTACATTACACCACAAAAACACGCAAAACAATGTGATTACGTATCAAACTCAAAACATCCAAAATGAAACATTAAACCCTAGAAGAAAAACCCCAACTTTATAACAAATACAAGTAAAATCAAATTACCCAGTTCTTTACAGTTAACTAAAAACTAAAAACAACCAAAATGAGAACACAAAGACAAAGGGTTCGTGATTACATATACCATCATGAGAAGGAAAGCAAGGGATGCATGAGCAGCCACTAGGGTTTCAGAAACCAAAGCTTCAGCAAGAAAAGAAGCCATCTTTCTCTGCAAAAAACCCAAATCAGAGGTGAAAGATTTCACTACTTCCATTGTGAAAAAGCCACACGTAGAACCCACTTAAAAATCCAAGATTTTGTGAAAACAGTTTACTGAGAGATTGGAACAACTGTTGGTTAAAAAAGACAAAGTAAAAAGGAACTAGAGTAAGAATCTTGGGTTAGGGTTGGGATGTGGAATATTTTGGGGGTGTCGGGTCGGGACAAAGGAGATTTTGTTTGTTTGAAACAAGAAAAGCGTTAGGGTTTTGTGGGGGTGCGAATTGCAACTTTCTTTAAAGGGGACAATTTAATTTCTCTCAAAATTGCAATTTTGACTTTGACTTTGACTTCAAAGATTGAAAATGTCATTTGAGAAGACTCAATTCGAGTAAAATTATATGTTATTTGTTGCTATTAAGGATTTTCGAGTAACCTGAATCTTATTCGGTTAAGATAGATTATTTGACTTTGAATTTTTATGATGCTACTAGGTGTGCCCTTTATCATTTGACATCTTAAGAGGCTCTCATGATATAGTGTAAAATGAAATATAATTGTTTGGTAAGGGAGATCCAGGATACAAAATCATTCAAAGGGTTTTGAAATCATCAAAAGACAGACTTTTTTGTGCCAAGCAAGATTCACCTCTTAACGATTCAGAGGTTGTCTCTTAATAGAACTATTAAGAGGTAAACAAACAACCCCTATATCTGTCACTGACAATACATTGAATTTTTAAATCAATGATAATAATATGCAATATGTTGGACTTTTACATAAACAATTACACTTCCGCCCAACAATGCGATAACCCACAAAGTAAAACAACCTACCCAACATTAGTTAGAAGTTCGGAGCTGTTCCAAATCTGGACATTTTCTTGCCCAAATCGGTTTCGCCATTTTCTGTCGACTTGATTCTCGCTTTAGTTTGTTGTTTTTTCATAAATTCATAGATCATGTCTTTTTCAAACAATCAGGCATAAAAATCAAGAAGTGATTTTAGATATTAATTTTCAGTTTCAATGGAAACCTTGACAAAACTTTAAACATAGACAATCAGAACTTAAATATATGAATCTAATGTACGATGTTTGTGTTTTTCTATGGTATATTTTTGGGCTTGTGGCCCTTAAATGAAACTCAACCTGCTCATTCATGATTACCTCAGTTTAGTGAGACAACTGTATCCTCTTTGGCTGGATTTTTTTTAGATTCAACACATGGAACGTGTTATGGATCTTTCTAAGTCCTTTTGATTGCTCTAATCTATAAATTGTTGCTCCCACTCGACTTATAATTCAAAAAGGTCCTATGCAGTGAGGTCTCAACTTTCATTTCTTCTTGAACTGAAGCAAATCCTTTCGGTGAGGTACTTTCAGATTGGGACCTCAATGTCATGTTACAATTCGTAAGATTGTTTTGTATTTTGACCGTTAGACAAGTCAAATATTGTTCTACATAGCTACCAATGGTTTTTTCATTCCCAGCCACACCTACAAGACTTTCAAGTCCTTGTACATTTTGTTGCTTCCAGGGTGAATCGATCTCGATTTATTAAAGAAATTACACTAAAACGAGAACTTTTAAATAGTTAATTTAATGATAATATCGATTGTTTTTAACAAAAAAATTATAATATCTTCAAAATTATATTTCATTTAAAAATAAAAATAAAAAATTCTCAAAACCACGTAAAATCGCATTACGTGAGTACCTTTCTAGTATGGATATAATTGTCTAGATGGATTGGGAAAGTTTTGTTTGAGAGGGTTTTTTCATAGATGGAAAGAAACGTGTTTTTTAAGTAAAAGGAGTTGGGTTTTGAAGAAAAAAAACCCTGGTTTTATGCATAAAACTCCCTCAAACTTACTAAATAAGTTATTTTCTATATCATGAAGTCATTACTAAATATATTACATAAACCTAAATAGCTTGTGTGCTAAGAATCACCCAACAATCAAGAAACCTGATTTTGTAAGGGTTGTGGTGAAATCAGTACAACAACAAATTCATTCTTCTAAAGACAACTCTACAAACAAGATATAAGAATGTCTTATAAAAACCACAAGGATGATGCCTGATTGCTTTGAGTTTGACTTCAAATGTCAAAAGTACCAGGAGGTCCCATGTTCAAATCCAAGGAGGAACAAAAATGCCCTTGTGGCTACGGAGATTCAAATGCGGTGACTCCGGACTATCTGCAAAACAAGTGTTATTCCTGTGATTAGTCGGCTCGTATAGCGGGTTAGATATTCAGGTTAATAAAAAAAATGTTTTATAAAGTTTACGGGTGATCTCATATATTTTAAGGGATAAATTTTATCACATGTTTTGAGGAGTGTAAATTTTATCACATGTTTTAAGGAGTGTAAATTTTGTCACATGTTTTGAGGAGTAAATTATATGTATAAATATTTGAAATTATGTTTATGTCACAGGAACTCACAATTAGACATGGGAATGTGGCAAAAGTGACACGATTTGATTTTAGCCCGACAAATGAGTAGGCAATTCAATGTTAAAAGGTATATTCTAGAGAACTGTATCTCCTTATTTCTACCAAATATAACATGGTGTACGCATTATGTCAATTGTAACGGAAAAATCTTTCTGAAGAAGCCGTACATGAGCACGAGTAATTCTCACTTTGGATTCAACAAATACAATTTGCTTACATCAGACAATTGTGTTTGCCCTAAAAATAAGACGACCCATGAAAGGCCAACATGATGGTTGACACATTGGTCATGACAAGTATAGACCAGAGCTCATCTAAAATAAAAGGCTATGGTTTTAAAGGCTACCATAAGAAATTACTGGAGATACGAAAATCAAAAGGCATAGAGGATCAAGGGGTAAACCCTGCTCCTAGAAAACAACACCCGAAAGTTGAATCGGTTTATAGGTAGAATATGGGTTCCTAAAGTTAGTTACGTGACCACATGATCTTAGACATATAACGAACTAATTTATTTTTTGTTTAAAAAAATAAATTTTTTAAGATTATAATTAAGTATTTTGTTAAAATTCAATGATTATCCTAATTATATTTTAGATTTTTTATACTTAAAATAAGATGTTTATCATCTATTTGATTATGTTTATCTGCACACAAACTCAAACATGAAGCTTTAATAAGTGGTACTTACGTACAATTACTTGTAATATTGAAATTTAAGTAATATACATCAATCAACAGTATTTCATGCATAAAAAGAAATGGTTTTTAAGAGTTTTAATCAAATACTTTATAATATAGTATAGATAAAGACCTAACGGAAATCCACCAAATAACCCCTAAAACTAGGAAATCATTGAAAACAAATTTAGGAGCCGTTCCCCCAAATGCTTACCGGTAAGCGTTTATCGGTAATAATCAATATTATATCTATTTTACCAGGTAAGATTATAGTATATTAAAACGGTATCGTATGCAACAATTTACCTGGTAAACGCTCACCCGAGTAAGAGTCGACACCATCACTTACTGTGTAAGACTCTCTACCCATATTATTGCTCTTACTAAATAAGATTTTCAATCATTGTCATGTTCATCATATGAGGAAAATTACAGGTGAATCTTTTTTTTAACCGTTATTACTTAATTTCTCACGATATATAACATGAAGAGAAGTAAACTAATATTCAAACAAATTTACTAAACCGATAAACCCAAATCTAAAATGAACATTTTGATTGGGGGGCAAAAAAGGAAATATAAATTTTTGGAATGGGAAAAGAGATGGGGTTTGATTCGGTTGTTTCTGTTGTAATCTTCCGTTTCTCGGACATCCAGAAAGCCGTCGGATCATTGCCGAGTCAACACCGACGGAAAAACCCTAATTCGCATGAATACTCTAATTTGTTCTTCTTCCACCATTTTCATTGATCTTTTACGCATATATATCGTTTGACGAATTCAATTTTTGTTTCTTTCTGAAATTCGATATGTCGTCGGAGATCGAGGTCGAAGAAAATACGGATCATGTTGCTGCTGGAAATGCTAATGGACCGATCGGAGGAGGAGGGGAACTGCAGGAGGAGAGTTTGAAGAATGACGTTTATACTGCTGCTGCGTATGGTGATTTGGAGAAGCTTAAGAATTTGGTCGAGACAGAAGGTTGCTCTGTTAACACGCCGGATGATCTCGGTTATCGTGCTTTGCAGTGGGCCGCCCTTAACAATCGTGCCGCCGCTGCTCAATACATCATCGAGGTTTTCCTTCTTTTTCTCTGTTTTTTATATTTATGCATGTGCATCTAGATAGCATGAAGATATATGCAAGTTGTGGAGTATATACACTCATGATCAGCTTTCTAGATAGATATTTGTTTTTATGGTATGCCATCTTTACTGGACAGAGTGACCCAATTCAAAGCAGTTTCATTATTATCAGTCACATACGAGTTATTTATGATATTAATTTCCAATTGTTGTTAAGAGTGGTTGAGTGAGCAATAGAATGGATTACTCCCTTTCCAACCGGATATGCATACTTGGATTAAGATGCCGAATGAAGCTTTTTTCAACTTCGGACTGATGTGGATGTAAAGAATTGGCAACTAAATTAAATTTGGTAGCATGAGTGCTACGTTCTACATGCAACAGAATATGTATCGATTTTGTATCTGCAGAGTACTAGGAACAAGGTAATCAAGGCCATGGCACATGCTGTGGTGCCTTGCCATGGCGCATTAAGGGAAAAATGATAGCATTATATATGCAATTGGTAGGTCGATCCATGGGGTTGCCATGCTTCATATGCAGAATGTGCACATATAACATATTGATGAAGAGGTTTGTATCTGTTATGTTTGGAGCCTCTTTGGGCTTCCTATTTTTCCTTGAAAATTCTGTGCAATTTTCATTGAACTAATATATATTAATAAAAGAACCCTTTAAGTTCAAATTGAAAGATTCACCAACCAGCTATAATTTCTGATTGTGATTAACATAAGTTTGCTTCTCATTCCTATTAATATGTTATGTTTTGCTTTTTCTTCCCTCTAGTTCTCTTTTCTTCCCTCGATTGCTGTATCTTACCTTTCCCCTGGGAACTGTGACCGATTTATCATCTTCCCCCCTCTGCTATCCTTTCTTCTACATTGAGCATCGAGCTAGCAAAAGACATTTAAATTAGTATTTCAACTTTTATTGGTTTTCACATATTAGAAATTCAGAACTAACCGAATCAAGTAAATATTTTATATAATTTTATTCCAAGGTATTTTTAGGAATAAGAAAGCAACAACTCCTCTAATTAATATAAGAAAACTGAGTTTAAAAGTGGCTATCATACGACTGATATATTGTGCTTTAAAGTAGTAACTTGATTTTATATAACGACAGAAAGTGATTAACCATGTCTCGTTATTATTGTTATTATTATTTGTTTGGAAAATAGCACTTAGTCAGTTATGTGCTTGCACCATGACTCGTTTGTCGGTTGAGCCATTCTTGCACCGTATTGCATGACTGCACATAAAAGAGCTATTATTTTTGGTGGAATGGAGTGAGTTGGCAACCTGACTTAAAGCACCTATTTTTGGTGGAATGGAGTGAGCTACTATTTATGAGGTTTTCGTAATTAATCTAAATTATTAATTTTTTATAAGATCATAAGACTGAGAACAAACTAATATTGTAATTTTGTATGTTTCTAAATGTGTGAGAGTTGCTAGCTTAAAAACTGATCAGATGATCTTTTCTTATGGTTTGATTTTGAATCTCAGGGTATTTATTATTCTCTTTTTGTGAAGAATCAGGGTAAAATTGAGTTCTCAATGACATGAACTATTAAAAACCTTAGATTTATTATGTTTTACTAGAAGGGTACTCGCACAATGCAGCGAGATACATCTTGATTTTAATGTTTCTTTTTATTTATTTTTGTCTTAGTCAATGTAATACGACTTTACGTGGTTTTAAAAAAAGGATAATTTTTTATTTTTGAATAAAATATAAATATGAAGATATTATAAAAAAATTTAAAAAAATAATAATATTAGTAACAAACTAACTATTTAAAATTTCTCGTTTTTTATATATTTCTTTAATTCATTCTTTTATTTTTCGTTAATAATCTAATTTTATATAAATATAATAATTAAGTATTTTATTAGAACTCAATGATTATCCTAATTATATTTTAGATTTTTTATATTTAAAATGAGATGTTTATCCTCTATTTGATTATGTTTATCTGTAGTTAGTTACACAATTTCAAATATGAAACTTTAGTAAGTTGCGCTTACGCACAATTTACTTGTAATCTTGAATTTTAAGTAATATGCATCATTTTTTGTCAAATGCTTTATAATATAGTATAGATAGAGGTCTTTGTGTGTATGTATGTTAGGGGGGGGGGGGTTAGGGGGGAGGCAGGAAATTAGTTTAGGGGGAGCCCTAAAACAATATAAGAGAATTTATGGGTTCGACTTGAGATGCTCAAAAGTCTAATTAGCCAAATTTGGACTGAAAAGGACCAGGACTGATTACAAAAAAGAACCGGTTAAAGAGTTCCTGCCCAAGGACCTGTTATAGGGTAAGGCCCAATTTGATCCTTATAGAACCGACTCTTTTAGAACCAGTTAATGTGCATCTCTAGTTTCAAGGTTGGGAATACATTCTAAAAAATGTCTTTTAAATACTTATACATACACAATACCTATTAAAAAAGAGTTACAATGTAGGAGTGAGCTAGAACAATATGCATGTATTTATACAAACATAAACAAGATGTGCTACAAGTGTGAATAGACAAATATATAAGCAAAAGAACGTTTGAAAGTACATATAACTGTCATAAAAACTTTGTTTAGTTAATTCATTTATCAAAATTAAAACCATAAAATAAACATAAATTTTGAACCATATAATACAAAAGTTATGGTGCAATTGCCGATATAGACTATGATGACATGTATTTTTTGGAAATTGAGGGTGTGCATGGGCACCCCCTAGCACCTTAATGGCACTGCCAGTTTACATGCCTATGCACGAAAGAATTTTTTTAGGTTGAGTTTTGTGCAATATTCTCTTCATAGAGATTTTAAGAAACAGAAAAATCATATTATTTGCAAAACCAATAGCTTTCTTTAGTAATTGTTTACCAGGTATGAAAGATATAGGCATAAAGGAGGCAAAAAGACCTTGCACTGGATTGCCTTCATGTCAAACTCCTTAGCAGGTATAACAGATGTAGGTACCCGGAGGCAATAAAAGTTGCACTAAATTGTCTCATTGAAACTCTCCTCTCTTCTCTACATTCCTCTGTGTGTGTGTGTGCTGAACCATCCTAACCAGAAAGCTTTTGTATCTGTGGATGGAGTGGACTGGCTATTTATTTGGGTTTGGGGATAATTGGACATTTTGTTTAGAGATAGCTATGACATGAATTATAATGAAGTTGTCAAAAATGGTACTATTGCTGATAAACTTGTCATGAAGTGTGAACATTTGACACGCAAGGAGCCCGACTATTATCAACTTGTATTAAAGGGTTATTGTGATGTTAAGGGCTTCACTTCTATGTCAATGTTTTGCTTGGGTTGGGGGAGGACACTTTATTCAAATTAGCTCTGGACATTGTTTTTGGACCTTGGTTGTTATGAATTGATGTTTGTTCATATGATGGGTAAGTGTTATATGGTAGTTACTTCATTTTAATGGAAATTTGCAGCGTGGTGCCGATGTGAATGCAGTGGATCTTACTGGGCAAACAGCATTGCACTGGAGTGCTGTTAGGGGAGCTACTCAGGTTGCAGATCTTTTGCTTGAAGAAGGTGCTCGGGTTAATGCAGGTGATATATATGGATATCAGGTTGGTATTTGGTATATAAATGCTTTCATCCAATTTTACTAAATTGAGGAACAACTGACATTCTTAAAAGACCTTTTTTTGTTGCTTAAAAGATGCTGTAGTGATTGTTGGCTGCTATGGACTGATATCATATTCATGGCATGTTATTAAGAGGTTGTTTGTTTGTGGGACTTAGCATTCTATCTGGAGATTTTCTGCATGACAATCTTTTCCATCTATGCTTGATCTACTAATAGCCTTAGAACATTAAGCTATTTATTGCAAAGTAAAATTCCTTCTGTATACTAAGATGTATTTATTTCAGTGTCTTGGATTCTATCTGCTTACTTGGATGTTGGGCATTGTTAACAAATGATTCCAGAACTTGCTTCTGAATATGCTGCTCTTGTTATGTTCTTATTTAATCACTTTGTTTTGTGCTGCAGAATACAACATCTATTTAGATAATGTTATTAGTACAACACCTTCTTTTGCCAAATCAATTTTACTAGGCACCATCTTTTTTCTTATATCTGCTACATTTGAGACAGCAGAGCCATTGGCCTTGTGCCCAGTCCCCACCAGCTGTAATAGTTGGTACCAAACCACACATGCCCATTATATCCCACTCAACTGTAGGGTCTGGGGCAACTGTAATAACTGGTATGCACATAATCCCAACCCGCCAAACCACCAATTAAGAGGGTTGAAATTGGGTTAGGCCTAGCTCAACCCGCCAACCCCCGCTAATATATATAAAATTGTATATAAGAATAAAAATAAATACTAGTCTATTTAGACAAATTTACAGCCCAAAGTGTAATGTTCTAAATCGTATAATATATATTTTTTGAGCTGGAAAAGTTATAAACAATAAGTAGAATGCATTATATATATATATATATATATATATAATATAAGAATAGAACATTTAGACAAATTTACAGCCGAAAGTGTGTGTATATATATATATAGTACATTTTACTTATTGTTTATAACTTCTCCAGCTCAAAGAATATATATTATACAATTTAGAACATTACATCCCAAAAAGCTATATGTAATTATTGCGGAAAAGACTGCTTATCACAGTAAGCGAATTGGTACAAGTTCTTTATGGAATCACTTAAAAAATCAATGTAAGAACTAAGAAGTACTCGGATAGTTTGTGTGATAAAAAACAAAAAAATTGCTTAGCTTTCATATTAGCAATGATATTGAGGTGTCATTTAATAAAGAGAATTGTCGAAAAACCGTGGCTAGTTTGTGGTGAAGGATAAACAACCCTTTAGTGTTGTAGAGGGTGAAGGATTTAAAGAACTTGTTAAAGAGTTGCAACCTAAATTTGGTATCCCTAGTAGAGTGACTGCTGCTATATATATATCGGTTGTTTTGGAAGAAGAGGATTAAATTGAAGAGAGAGTTAACAAAGGCTGGACAAAGAATACGTTTAACAAATGATTGTCAGACATCTTCCCTATAAAGGTTGGTCTTACTTGATTGATGATTTGGGCGGTTTGGGGCATCTATTATTCAAACTTTTGACGTACTTGATTAATGATTTAAAGTACTCGATTCTAAGACTTAAGGATTTAACTATATATTCGGATGATTGTAATGACTAATAACTTCATCTTATGTGTTTTTAGTAGTATTTATCGTATTTCATTCTTCAATTTTATGTATACTACCAACCCTCCACAACCCGCCCAACCGCCACAACCAGCAAGGGTTGGGTTATACTTTTGAATGGGTTGGGTTGAGATTTTCAAACCGTCATAATTGGGTAGGTTGTAAAAATGTCCCAAACCGCCCAACCCAACCCGTGTACACCGTAACCATTACCATAATCTCTCTTTGGATTTCCTTAGAGAAAAAGCAAGACATTCTCGCTCACATGGTCAGACAAATGGATGCATACACAGATGACTGTTCAAAGAAGCTTTTTAAAATGCAAATGAGTCTCAAAATGTATAAGAGAGAAAAAACAGTCGGAAGAGTCAACCGTATTTTTTAAGTTTTGATGAACAGGAATGTTACTTTTCCCAACAGTGAAACTTCACAACGATTTTGATGGTTCTACTGCCTTTTCTGTTAAGATGATAGGACTGCTGCCTCATTGATTATGACAGCAAGGCCCTTTGTCATGTTTGTGTACAGTGGCAGGATCTTTTCAACAATTCTTTTTTATCCGATGCATATACACCTATGCTTTCAGGCTAGTGAGAAGCCTGGCAGCAGCTCCAGTGTATAGTATTTTTTTTCTCATTAGATGTTATGACAATGACATAAAGTGATGGTGACCAATATCTTATCTGTCGTGATTGGCTTTTGTTAGATCATGGGTGAAAATTATGTGCTAATTTTCATTCGCTCCTTCCATACTTAAAATGCATACTTGCATTTGGTTTACCATTCAATATCTAATTTGAATTTATTGCAGACTACTCATGTTGCTGCACAGTATGGTCAGACGGCTTTTCTTTATCACATTGTCACAAAATGGAATGCAGATCCAGATGTTCCTGATAAAGAAGGAAGAAGTCCTTTGCATTGGTACTTGAATCTCTTTCTTATATTACAAACCCAACCTTGATAAAGTCTAAAGTGTCTTTATGCTTAATGAGTCTACCATCAGCTGTGGTATCATCTGAGGGGAGCAGTCTCATTGTAGAAGAGTTAAGATGGCCGTGGATGCCATGGCATTGTGAATTCTTTTAAAGATGATATTCTTTATGGGACAAGACCATCCCTCATTTTTGTAATTGCTGCCCATGAGATTCTTTGTTGTGTGCTGTAGTGTATATTACCCCCTTTTTCAAGAGTTTGTGTTTTGGCTGTAAGCAAATGCTGAGGGATCTTCATGGTGACTTGTAGGGCTGCATATAAAGGTTTTGCAGACAGTATACGTCTTCTTCTCTTTTTGGATGCATATAGAGGGCGTCAGGACAAAGAGGGTACTGTATTCTTGTATATGTATTTGTTGCAATTATCTTATTGCTGCTTTTTAAGAAGATTAAGTTCTAATTTATTAAACACTTATTACCCATAATTTTTCTTTATGAAATATGTCATACATCATTCCTTACATCGTGCAATTTTAGGTTGTACACCTCTACATTGGGCTGCTATCAGGGGGAACTTAGAAGCATGCACAGTATTGGTGCAAGCTGGAAAGAAAGAGGATTTGATGGTGACTGACAATACTGGCCTTACACCAGCACAACTTGCTTCTGATAAGAATCATCGACAAGTTGCATTTTTCCTTGTAGGTATTCCTTAATACTTGTAAATATATGTATGTCTTGGAGGCAGTTTTTGCTATCAGACTTCATGTTCCATGGACAAGTTTTATTGCATTCTTCAACTTTTGAGTTTAGTCACTAGCATGCTTCGTGATGCACAGAATGGAGCCTGCACTTGGTTGAACAGAAAAGTATACAAAATAATGATGCATGATTTGCTTGTAAACTATTGGTTAAAGTTGACAGTCTTGTTCATGCTCCCTTCCAAATTGAATTTGCCGCTAGAGTTTTATCCTAGATGTTTTCCCAAGATGATAATCTTCCCTGAAAGATGTCATACAACATTATCTAGGGTTTCCTGCACTTCTTGAGAAAGTTCCTTGGCGTGGCATGGGCTCTTTTCCAAATGGAATTTCGATCATAGTATTATCCTTTATGTAGAGTTATTTGTAAAATTTCATGTTAAATAGATTGTTTTTGAGCCTGGGTTATGCTGTGAGTGTTTATATCTATTAGCCAGTGTTGCTTCATAGATGTGGCAATGCCCGACTTAATTCTCATATGAAATTTTTATTGTGTAACGAGAGCTTATTATCTCTTATCTCCCATGGAGAATGAATCAGACCATGTGCTATTTTTCTAGCATATTTGCCCAAACGCAGAGTTTATAACTTGCAGAATATGTCTACTTCAACTAAGATGTTTCTATGAACTTGGTATGCACTTTTGCCACAAAGGAATATCGGTTACATGAAGTTGAAAATTCCGAATCCTTGGATTCAGTTGTATGGCCAAATCTGCGGATGACTTTTGTTCTACCATTATGATTGTATCATTCATTGTTGCTTGTTGCAGCTCATGAAAAAGAAGGTTTAGCTTATTCCTTGTCTCTTTTTTACTTTAAAGACATTGCATGCCTTACATTTACTAGTACCATTTTGATTTTTTGAGCATTTAGAATAGTCTTTATTAGGATCACCGTACCATCTATGGAAAGGATGGAGGCACATAGGGGCCAAGGTGAGCTCAGGCCCTCCCTCAGATTAAAGAAAAAAACCCAATATATTTTATACTCCATAAAACCCTTGTTTCTTCAAGTCTCCCTTGTGACGATCCTCACATCACACTGTTGCTGCTGAAGGGCTGAACCTAACTACGAAGGTTCTTGCTTGTTGTTTGATTTGCTTCTGTTTGCTTTCACCTTCTGAATTATTCACTTGATAAGTGCATCTTTCTTCTCTGTTTCTACCCATGCAAGTACAACTGAAGCAACAATCAACTCAAAATTCAAAACCTAATAAATAAACTAATCATTATGCTTTTAGTTTTGTTAGACTACTATCTCTGCTCACAGAGCTCTTTGCAGGTTTCTCCTCATCAGGCTCTAATTTTGTGTTATTTCATAGTTTGATTATATGCTAGGCAAATCATGTCACTAATTTTTTATTTCAGTGTTTTGATTATATGCATTCATTGTCACTAACTTGTTTTTGTTTCATATATGATATATTTGCCCAAATTTTGAATGGACCTTGTGTTTGTTTTCTTAACACGTTATATTTGCTTGGCGATATAGAGAAATCATGCAAAAAAGCAGCTGGTCACCAATTACAATGCCACAATCCCTATATTTACCTTGAAATTATTGCAATATAATTTATTGCTTGTTTGTTTGCTGCGGAATTGTGTGCAACTTTTTAATTTTATTGCTTATGTTATTAAGATATAAGGTTAACATGTAAATTGGGTCTGCTTTCATCAATTTTCTTGTGGTGTTCTCAAATCTGTTTTCTTGTAGGAGAGTTACATTTTCAATTTCTTTCTATGTTTTAAACCAATTTGTTAGTGGAATGAGAAGTGGTATAGGAATCAGTTGAGGAAACCGGGGATAATCATGATACTCCGATGAGGTGTTGGTATGCTTTTGCAATGGAAACATCTTCATTCTTTGTTCTCTATTCCTTATTCCTTCCCGTGAATTATTTATCCATGGATGATCACTGTTAAATGGTCCGGTCTCTTGTTCGTAACGTTGCAGTTAAGTGATTATGGATATTAAGGATGATATATGACTACTGATTTACAACAACCGGTCTCCATTTTTCTTTTAATGTGACTACCTGAATAAGAGAGTTTTAGAAAACATTTTCTTAGTTTCTTCCATTTTTCATTTATCTTTTTGATTTTAGCTGTGGTTAACAAGGTATGAGAACGACATCAGTTTCTTCCATTTTTCATCTAGCTCACAATTGTTTTCTGCAAACATTCTCCTTTCTATTTGGTGATTGTTAATCAATCAAGATTTCCAATCATTTTAGGGATTCCACTCCATTTGATCATTTTTTTTTGCGCTCTATTTATTTGATCTCTTGACACTCATTTTTTCTTTACTTGAGCTCTTCTGATACAACAACAGTGACATCATCAACTTTCTTGTTTTGGTTTAGGAGAGATAACACAAGCATTTTTTAATTGTTAATGTGCACCATCTTCCTTTCTGGGTTGACTTACTGAAATGTAGACCTGTTTCTTGGTTTAAGGTTTCTAGAGGACCACTCTGAATATAAATTGTCTCCGCTCCTAATCTATGATCCAAGATTTTGTAATTGGAGTACATAAGATATATAGAAAACAATTTTTCACTAGTATTTGTTGCTACTTGAAATATATATTTTATAAGATCTCCAAAAAACATTATATTGTCTTCTTATTTTTCAAATTAATTCCAATGAACACTTTACTCCATGTGCTTTGCAACTGTATCTTTTGATTCAAAGCCTATCATGGTTTCTGTAGTCCTAGATGTTTATTAAGTTTTCCACTGTTTTAAGCTAGTTAAGTAATGATATTTCTTGGTGCATATATATTCACATAAGTTTTCTTATGACAACCATCGATTACTGTTATAGTATTTTCTCTCATTAAAAATCCTGTCATTGTTTAGGTTGTTTATTTGGAGGGATTTCTTACTTTCTTGTTTGTTGCATTTGCTGCCAAATGTCATTGGAGAGTACTTGGACCTCTTTCCCTTGATATTTCTGTTTGATGACTTTATCTGATTTTGCAGGGTAATGCTAGGAGGTTGCTGGAAAAACGTTATGAAGGGATGTTTGGACGACTTTCAAAATTAGGATTAGCACCAGCACTTTTGTTTATAATATTTGTGCTACTTTTGACCTATATCAATTCAGTCATTACGGGTATCTTTCGAGCCTTTCGATAAAATAATGTATAATGTGTCGTGTGATTAACAAACAAGATCTGTCAATGCTTATAGTAGTATTTCTTTTTTGCTGCAGCTCCAAATTTGCCGAAGTTAACAGCTGCTTCTGCATTTTTTGCATGGATTGGTATAACATTTGCCAGTTCAGGATTGATACTTTTCTATCGTTGTAGCTGGTATGCTTTGACTTTCGTGTTACGGAACCCTCATTACAATTGTTTTATATCTGTTTTTTAGCAAGTGGTGTGTTATATAGTGGTTTATCCCTTGCACTGATGCAAAAAAGTCATGAGGGCATATATATGATATTTTTTGTTGAAGTGCATTTCTCAAAATATAAAATATTATAGTTCTTAAATCTTTTCTTGAATTATATGATATAACTACAATAATTGTAGCATGACCTGTTGGTGGCCTTTGTTGTTTTTGTAGCAAAGATCCAGGTTATATTAAAGCCAACAGGACTGATTCAAAAGATACAAGAGATGATGTAAGTTGTGTATTACCTTCATCCAGCTAAAAATTATATTAATATTATCAGGGTTGGGTTCCGATGAGAATGGAAGTTATGGTGAGAAGGGTAAGAAGGGATCTCCACCCTTGGATCAATCCTAATTGAATATTAGCACTAACAAGATGCACCGGATCAATTCCCGTGAGAAGCTCCATTCATGGGGTGGGGGTGAGATTAAAAGTGGTCAAGGGTCCAGATCTCTTCTTATGCTTCTCATGTTAACTCTTATTCTCACATGATCCTTCATCAATATTATCATTGCCTGAGCATTGTTGCTGGTGCTTTTGTACCTCTTTGTCTATCACTCTTGCATTTTCTTTCTATAAGATTGCTTTTCTTAGGTATAAACACAAGAGGTTTTCTATATGGTTATATAAGTTGCAATTATTGAGCAGGAGCCTTTACTGAAGATTGAGATACGTGACCCTGCTTTGCTAGCTGGTAATTGGACTCAACTTTGTGCAACTTGTAAGGTAATGTCATACATGTCAAATGAACTTTTTCTTTACTCTTCTAATTGTGCTACACTGATTAAGTGTTACTTCCGTTGCTTTTTATAGTAATCTCCACAATGTCCTATTTTATTTTTTAGATTGTCCGGCCTCTTCGCGCAAAGCATTGTCCAACGTGTGAGCGTTGTGTTGAACAATTTGATCATCACTGCCCTTGGGTATCTAATTGCATCGGGAAGGTTTGTCTTCGTAAAAGTTGTTTTTGCGGTATATTATGATTGTAGAGAAAACCATATAAGATAACATACTACCAAGTGAACGGTGTTAATTAACTTCATTGCTACAACTTCTTTTATGAAAAAAGTTGACTATATTATATTTATGTTGTGGTTGCACTAATCCAGTGAGTGCAATGACATTACTTAAATTCATGAACACACCCATGTCAATTGGAGTACTTTCTCAGTAAGCGAAGTGCACCATTATCATGTGAGTCTAGACATCATTCATTACTCCAAAATTAAGGTGTACTTTTAGACATGGTATTCAAAGAAATTGCATCTTCTATTTATGCCCAATAACTCAATACTGTTGTCTAAAATGGTGTTATTACTCCATGTCATCGCTCTGAAACTTGCAACATATGATACATCATGTAGGGTTGCTGCACAAACTAGGTAGATAAAAAGATACTTTGTTTGTAATGCTTTTGGACATCAAATATTAACCGAAGATACCATTACAAGGGGCACCTTCCGAGTTGATTAAGATAACCTAAGATTATGTTGCTGGTCTTAGGGCAACATTATTATGTTTCTTTGCTACAAGCTTAATTGATGACGTTTATGAGCCTGAACCAATCTCCATGATACACTTTAGTAATATGTTTAACTGACTTTTTCACTTTATTTTATATTTCCATTTGATGCTAATCATTCTGCTCTTGCTTTTGACCTAATTGTGATTAATATCTTGTGGGGATCTTATATACAGAGGAACAAATGGGATTTTTTGTGCTTTCTTATTCTGGAAGTTCTTGCTATGGGGATAACCGGCGCAGTTGCTCTTACAAGTACGGTTCTCTTATTGGTTCTTGTTCAAATAATACTTTGTCCCAAAAGAAAGAGCCCACTTCTAATTTTTCAAACCTAGTACTTATCAAATTCAACCTTTGATGTTTACATATTGGAATTTTTTTAATCTCCCAATGTTCTTATTCTGTACTCTTTTATATTGTCAGATTTCAAAATGTTCAAAAAGGATTATAATCCCATCAATTTTGAAGTTAAAAATAACTCATTTAACCTTCAAAAGTCAAACTTGGATATTTTTTTTCTGGAAATTTATCATTCACAATTGGGTGGCTTTGCAAGCTAAAAGAACTTCATTCTTCTTGCAGGAATTGTGACTGATCCATTGGCTCCAGCTTCTTTGGGGGCTTGGTTGCAGCATGTTGGTAATCAACACATAGGTGTTCTATTATTTTTAGTTTCAGATTTTTCCCTCTTTATTGGTGTGGCGGCTTTAACTTGCATGCAAATTTCTCAGGTATGTCTTTTCTTCTTTCACTCTTGTTATTTTAACTTCCCTAAGCTGGACAACCAAATCTTGGGTATATTATATGTAACTGTGTTTTTCTTTTTTGTGCTGAGTTTCTTGAATTACTGCCATTATGCCCACCTAAAGTTCCCTGTCAAAAATTACGTCATATGATCTTTAAATGTTACATGAACAACTTTGAACTCATTGTATTTGTAGAAAAAAGTTGAGAATTACATTTAAAAGTATAGAGGTAATTAGAGTAAAATCATTCTAGAGATAAAACCTAAAAAAAGCTGAAGTGGAGAACGTTGGCAATTGTTTTACTTGACTTAGGCTTTTAGAAACCGTAAAAATCCCCCCCCCCCCCCCCAAAAAAAAAAACTACTTAGAAAACTAACATTTTGTAACAATTGTTTGTGACTTCAGCTTTTATAAAACCCATTTTACTTGTAAAAAATGCTGCTAATTTACAAGTGGAATGGTTACTCCCTCTGTCCCAAAATATATGTCCACAGTAAAAAAGGCATACAGTTTTAAAAATATGTAATTATTACACTTTTTAATCAACTAAATGACAGTTTTACCTCAATAGAGGGAGTAATGAATTTCTTTATCTTGTAATAAAGGGTAGCATTGGAAAGTAATCACCTACTTTTGAAAGGGGACACTTATTATAGAACAACTAATACAGTTTTTGAACTTTTTGGTTGCAAGTAACCTTCTAGTGTTTTTCAAGGTTTTATGGGGGCAGATTGGTTGAACACGAGATCATTTTTTTGTGCAGGTTAGTCGTAATATCACAACAAACGAAATGGCAAACATGATGCGATACAACTACCTAAGAGGACCCGGAGGTCGATTCAGAAACCCATATGATCATGGGTGCAAGAAAAACTGTACAGATTTCTTGATAAATGGTTACAATGATGACATCGAGGTCACAGAAGAAGCAGCAGCCACTCTATCTGACGGTATCGACTTGATGGAAATGTCCAGAAGTCTAACTCTAAACATTCAAAATGGAAATGGAAACGGAAATGGGCACGTTGATTTGAGCAAGAACCCGAAACCCAACACTCATGTCCATTCTTCTAGTTGCAGCCATGGAAACCAAAGCAAACCAAAAACGGAGTCGGTTCCATTAGGTCTAGGACTAGGTTTAGGCCGTGGTTCGCGACCCAGGGCTGCTTCATGATTATATACAGACACACACACACACGTATATGGCCCTTCTTCATAATTGGTATCTAAACATGATATGTTGTACCACTTGGTGTTTATAGGGGTACACATATCAATCAATTTTCCAGAATCAGAGTGATTTACACTTCATGCTTTACATACACTGTTATTGTATCTCCAAATATTGTATACACCTATTTTTAAAAGCAGCATCAAGAGTCAAATTTTTTGTTTATGAAACATTGGATATGTGACACCCAGTTGAACTTTATCTTATCCAACTTTTTTTTATTAACTTGAATATCCAACCCGTTATGCGAGCCGACTAATCCCAGGACAACCACCTGCTTTGCCCGCAATCACCGCATTTGAACCTCCGTGGCACAAGAGGATTTCTGTTCATTCTTGGATTTGAACCTGGAACCTCCTGGCACTTTTAACCTTTGGAAGCAAGCTCAAACCAATCAGGCACTACCCTTGTGGTTTATCTTATCCACCTTTTCAATCCATATGTATGTGCTTCTATCAGTTTGTTATTAGTTGGTTTTATTATTTCTGCGGTAAATTTGAAATTTAAAAGATTATGCATTATTAAGTGGTATATAATGCTTAATAAGTTGTTTTTGAAACCTTTCATTAAGGGGGTGTTTGGGATTGCTTATTTGAAACAACTTATATTTTTTTACAAAAGTACTTATCAACTTATTATAAGTTAAAATTGTTTAACTTCTTCAAAAACTCCTTATTACCGGTTTGACACCGATATAAGTTGTTTATCCGAATACTTAAAAATGCTTATTACCGGTGTCAGATGAAATAAGTCAATAAGTTGTTTTTATAAGCAATCACAAACACCAAATGTTCTATTAGATATATGAGGCTGAATCTTATAAGCAACCCAAATTCAAACCAAAATCACCTTCTAATAAATCAACGTTTGTTACATGACTAAGAGTACACGCCAAATGAATATAACTTGCAAGCCAAGAACACAAAAACTCTATAAACAAATACACTAAAAATGAAGTTATATATGCCCCTAAAACACATACAACTCGGATATGTGAAGTATTTTCGATTTTACTACACCCCGTATTATCGACTATCTTTTCTTTTCTTTGTCGTGATAATTACAACTCACCTGTAAACTGTATTTGACGTGGCACTTTACGAATTTCTACATGCCTAGCTCTCAGTTCGAAGCTGCAGACTACCTGCAGAATAGATCTTTATCAGTTTCTAACTCGGGATGGGAAGATGAAGATCGTGAAGGGTATGATTGTCATTTTACAAGCAAATTGGAAAGCACAAGTGCGCAATGCGAAAAACAGTAGCATGGGTACATGAGTAAGATGCCAACACATTTTCACACACCAGGAAGGCAGGAATGGTTGTTCTCTTTCTGGATATACCAGTTTCTATATCAGGCAAAGGATCGTTTAAGGGTATAATCGTCGTTTTACAAGCAAATCAGAAACCACACGTGCACAAAGCCAAAAACAGTAACATGGGTTCATGAGTAAGATGCCAAAAACATTTTCACACATCAAGAATCGTTGTTCATTTTCTGGACATACCGGTTTCTACAGGCAAAGAATAGTTTGAGGGTATGATTGTCATTTTCACAAGCAAATCGGAAACCACAAGTGCATAATGCCAAAAACAGTAACATGGAAACATGAGTAGATTTCCAAAAACATTTTCATACATCAAGAATTGTTGTCGTTTTTCTGGATATGCCAGTTTCTATATCAGGAAAAGGGCCATTTTGAGGGTATAATCGTCATTGTCACAAGCAAATGAAGAAACCAGCAGTACATGAAGCAAAAAACTGCAGGAGTAAGATGCTAAAAGATTCTAACAAGCACAGATTATGAAACTAAGACAAGTTATCAACATATACCCATCTGGCTGTTTGACTGTTAGTTAAATGTCTAGATTACCCCTACAAACGAGAAAACTCGTGGATCAAAATCAATACCGTCAATACTAGTAGAAATCAGATAGCAATTTGTTACTTACCGAACAGTTGGATATGTAACAAGAAGTACCCTTTTTCGTTTTCTTGAAAAAATGCCCGATCTTGAAATGGCATTCATCTTGCATGTTCCAAGGCGTAAAAGAGTTTAGAAACTCGTCTTCGAAGCAACGGTTCTAATCTGAAAGACGGAATTCCACTTTGCCGTCTTTTGACTTCATACATTTCATGCCATGCTTGTACTATCTCATCAATATCAAACCCCAAACCTAAAAGAACAAGAATCCAAGATCAAAACTTTCTTCCAAGATTTCTTGAAAAATTACCACATGTCAATTAATCGACTCTGATACATAGAGCACGAAAAGTTTCAAAAAAATATGGAACCAAAATACCTTCGGGTGCAGCATTATTGGAACAGTGATTCTTGATCATGACTGCCATATCCGTATGAGAAACCCCAGCAAGTTCGAACTTTTCAACAGCAATCTCCAAACATTCGTGCCAAAAAGGAAGCCCGAGTTTATACTCCATTGATGATCTTTCATAAAGCATCGTACCCCACAAAACGTTTATCAGAGACCTCATATATGCAGCCTGCTCTTCCGCTTCATCTTTTCTAGTACCCGTTTTCTGTAAAATCTTGACCTTATTTGGCGTAGAATTCTCATCAGTGCATTCCTTCTCGGTTTCCTCCCACATTTGGATACCCCTTTCCATGTTATCTTCGGCTTTGTTGTAAAGTTGAATAACGTCCGTAGAGTCCCACTTTTCAAGATCAACGTTCGTGCCAATCGCATAATACCAAGAAAGTTTTGCCTGCTCGAATTGTTGATGTCCTAAAGCTAGAAAACCTTCATAGAAATCGGGCTTAACCTTTAGTGCTTCTTCATATCTTTCACCGGCTTTTGAGTACTCAATTTGTGCCCACTTGTATAAATCTTTGATGTGTGAAAGTATAGATTCTTGTGAAGAATCTTCGGTAAAAAACACCCTTTTCCTGGCTCTTGACATATGAACCTTTCCGCAATTAAACAAAGCTAAAGCCGCCATTTCTTGAAATTTATCGGATGCATTGCTGAAAAGCTCTTGAGCTTCTTCGCTTGTTACTGTATCCTCCATAGCCTCGGTGTATATCTTCATACCAGCCTCGTGAAGATCCAGATATGCATCCGAGTCAAACCCGACATGATTCTTGAAAAGTTGGGCAAACTCTAGAATCCAATCATCAATGCAAGTTGAAGAATTTAGAAGCTTTCGTTTCTGTTCTTGTCTTCTAATGTGGGCAAAAAACGGATCTTCCTCAGGGTTGACTTCTACGATATACAGTTTGACTGAACCGTTTTGACCAGAAGTTGATTCGGCCCACCTTAACTCTTCATTTGTGGTGACGGTGACCATATCCCCTTCTTGGTCCTGGTATTTCATTAGAACAGCTCGTGAAACTGGAAATCTATCGAATATGACCTCTCTTAGTTCTAAAACATCGCAATTAAAAGGGATCTTCGCCCATCTTATATCATCCCCATATACTAATTTGATACTCCTTTTCTGTTCATCTTCTTTGCTAAAACTGCTTATTTTCTCTTCGACAACCAACTTATCCTCATCAACGGGCTCGACATCATGAATCTTTTTGCACTCTTCCTTCTTGTGCTCAGCTTTTTCCTCAAACTTTTTTGGACAATTTCCGTCACTAATCTTCTCAAATTTTCCCTTATTGTCACCCTCATCTTTCTTTTCATCAATCTGCTCGAGTTTTTTACTTTTCTTCTTTCGTGTCTTCTCCTTCATCGACTTTTTATGTGTATCCTCCACATAATTTGGAAACCGAATAGCTTTACTCTCTTCTTCGCTCAACCTACCACCATTTTCCGTCACCATGAAACTTTTTGGTCCCTCTTCAGTTAACTTCTTCTCCATAAGTGCTTTCACTCTATCGGCAATCTCCATTGCCATTAGATTCTTCGGCTCCATATCCAACACCAAACTAACATCTCTTAAAGCCAAATCAAGCATGTTTAAAGCCTCATAACAGCGAGCTCGTTTCAGAAGTGCTTTACTATACTTGGGTGTGACTTCAAGGGCCAAATTGCATTCTTGAATAGCCTTTGGGAAATCGCTTATACCCATTTGCATATAGCACGCTGCAATGCTACTATGAAGATATGAAACATCTATATGGTTTCCGGGAAGCAATAACAGAGCTTTTTGGTATTTTAAGATAGATCCTTCATAATCTTTCTTCTGAAACAACTTATTGCCCTCATCTTTATGTTCTTGTGCCATGGAAATGAAAATGATAGTGTCGTTATCGTATGCTTTTTGGCTACTACTATCTGCCGGTTTTGATCCTCCATGTGTCTTATTCTTGCCTGATTTTTTCCCCATTGTTGAACCAATAAGAAAACTAGATTGCTAACATTCTTAAAGCAATTAGCTCAAGGTATAAAGAACCAAAAAGATGAAAACGTCAAGAACTACAAACTGATTTCTTGAAAATCCTAGTGTTTTTCAAGAATCAAGATAAGTGATGCTATAAACCCCTATTTGAATCCAAGATAATCAATTGATTCATAAAAACCCAGGAAACCCCATCTACCTTAGATTGTGTATCTCCAAACCCACAAAGAAATTTCACACATAAACACCTTCACTGTGTGAGAAACTTCAAAAACTTATTTCTTGAAAACCCTTTTGACCTTTTTCTAGATGGCACCTTCAAGGTAAGTAATGTTACAAACCCCAATTCAAATCTAACATCAATCAATTCAATAACAAATAAAAAACAACCATCTAAGAAAATTTCACGCACAAACACCTTCACTGTGTGAAAAACTAAAGGAATTACAAACTTATTTCAAGATTACTAGTAATGCTATAAACCTCAATCCAAATCTAACATCAACAAACGAAAAAGACCCCTCTACCTTAGATTATACATCTCCAAACCCACAAGGCAAATTTCACATAGAACACCTTCAGTGTGTGAAAATTATGATTCAATAGCTAAAAGTCGAACTTGGTACCCAAATTAAAGCAATAGATATACAGAAACTGAAACTAAAAACCCAACTCACTTTTCCTCTCCAAAATTGCGATTTCGGTGCAGCGAAAATGAGATTGTAAAGAAAAAGATAAAGAAAAAAGAGAGATGATGATTCTTACGCAACTACAAGTCCAAATTCTCTCTTGAAAATCAATCGTTTTCAAACTTTTTTTTACGGGAAGTCGGAGAAAAATCAAAGGAAATGGAATGGAGCCAAGAAAACTTATCTGGGGTAGGACAAAATGTGACCTTCGAAGAACCGCAAATTTGCAGAAGAGAGAAAACCTTGCGTTCTTTAGCTTCTTAAATATTCGTTTCGTATATGACTATGAGCTCTGTTTTACTGTTTTATTCTTAAATTCGATTTAATATATGTAAAAGGTTTGCAGATTAGTGACGTAACAGCCAACCTTGCAAAAAAGGCATTTCTTGAAAATGCGAATAAAGAATTCTTGAAAATCTTACAAAGAAGTGCAGCGTGAAGGGTCCTGTAGTTTCCCGTGAACTCCAAGATTGTTGGGTCCTTTCTTTAATCAACCAACTGGGGTGTTTCGGAATGCTTTTAAAAATAACTTATTCATTTATTTTGATATAACATTGGTAATAAGCATTTTTAAGTGTTTGGATAAACAATTTATATCGGTATCAAACTGGTAATAAAGAGTTTTTTAAGAAGTTAAACTATTTTGACTTATAATAAGTTGATAAATATTTTTATAGAAAAGCATAAGTTGTTTTAAATAAACAATCCCAAATACTCCTTAAATATTCAATTTTTAATTGTTTTGAAATATTCGGTTATATAAATATTATTTGGATCTCAAGAAAATTATTGGTATTATAATTATATATTAAATGATAATTAATATTTTATTAAATACAAATCAGACTTTTAAACTCGTTGTTACCTTTTTTGTACTTATAAGTATGCATTTTTTTCAATAGCATTCAAAGAAATCTCCATTCTTTTATTACAAATTTAAAATAATTTTATTTGTATATTATTTTTTAATGAGTAAATTACATGAAAAAATAATGTATTTTTAACTTGATCCTATTTTGAGTAACGTATTTTAAAAACTTTCATTTTGATATCTAAGATGTAAATTTTTAAACATTTAAGTATTCGGGTAATGGGTTGAAGCATTAACCGGTTACCATGTTGATATGACGAGTGATGGGATAAAATTGGGTTACCAGATGTGTTATATATTTAGAGAGAGGTTCATTTGATAAGTGGTAATTATTTAAGAATTAAAAAAGTGATTTCAGTCTTTCATACAGTCAAAATTGATCAAAAATTGCGGTTTTGACTAGTCAAATATCGTGATTTTGATTGGTCAAGATTTACGGTTTTGACTGGTCAAACGAGAAATAGATAGTAGTTCCGTAACTTTTAACAAGTACATATGTGAACTTATAGTTCATATATGAATCACACGAGTTCATATATGAATAAGTTAATTAGTTTATATGTGAATCATATGGTTTCATATATGTGAACTACACGGGTTCACATATGAACATAGATTTCATATGTGAATCACAAGAATTCACATATGTACTTGTTTTTGCCGCATATTTGTAAAAATTACGAAACTATTCATCTATCTTTCACATACCATGTGAGGAATTATATGGTGTTTCACAGTCAAAGCCGCAAATATTGAACATATGAAGGGCTATGATCACTTCTCTATTTCTCAAATACTTACCACTTCTCAAATGAACCTATGGCTACACACACATACAGGGGCTATTTAAAGGAGAACTCGATTGTTTGTAACAACTGTGAGATCCAATCTCAACCACAAATCAAATGATAAATTATTAAATTAATAATTTTGGTTTTCTGTTCTAGATACGATGAAGATCTTTGATATTGGTAAGCTTTCTTTGATGCAGAACCTTCGATTTTGCAGATATGGGTTTAATGGAGATCGATCAATCTCGAGTTTTGTTTTCTGCTCTTGGTACGATGTTGATCAAAGTTTGGATTTGTTGAACACTTAAGAAATAAGACCGACATCGATGGCTGATTTTAGGACACCATCGGGTGCAATGACGACAATCTTGGCTTCTTCTTGGCCATAATGTTGGAGTGCGTGGAGGACTAGGCATCATAGACGGTGTGGATGGTGCAGCGGTGGTGATGGTGCATCGACAAATAGAGAAAATGGTGTAATGTTGTAATTAGGGGTGCTCATGGGTTCGGTTGATCGGGTTGAAGACATTTAAACAACCAATCCAATGCTTACGATTTTGAAAATCTCAACCCAACCCAACGCAAACCAAAGTGCAACCCAACCCAAACCGTATGAGTTGGTCGGTTTAATCGGGTTGATACTTTGGTACATCAAAATATTCTCTCAACCTTGGATATGTTGTTTTCTCTAGTATACTCATAATTTTTTTTTCATCATCAACCATTTAGTATAACTTATCCATACTTCTTAAATCTTAAATGTATCATATTCAATTAATATTATCTATATATATATATATATATATATGTTCACAGTTACTAAACATGTATACAAAGGGACTAGTTATATAAAGATGGAGAATAAATTGAAAATATATGTATATGAAGAGGGTACATAATGTTGTAATCGTCTAGTGTACATATTAATAGAAACTAAACAATTATATAAAATCAAGAAATAAAAAGATATCAGGTTCATCGGGGTGGGTTGAGTTCAAATAAAAGTAACTCAATATCAATCAAATAACTATGCTTTGAAGATTTTATAACTCGATTAAAAATCAGGTTGCTTCGGGTTAAGTTATTTCGCGTTGAGTTGAGTTGATCGGGTTTTTGAGCACTTCTAACTGTAACGGTGAATGTGAGGAAAAAGAGAATGGTGTTGATGGTGCAACGGCTACACAAGAGTCCACAAAAATAGGATTTTTTAAGTCATCAACAAAAATTAAATTACCAATGTACCCTTTGATTTATTTTGGTAAATAATATTAATTAGCTTAAATGATTTATTTATATTAAATCTCACAGTTATCATAAACTAATTAATTCTCATTTAATTAGACTCATATACATACATATAAACAAATTCGTTTCGTTTATTTCTTATTCAATTACTATTTAATTTTTGAACAAAATATATTTTAAAATTAAAGAAAAAAAAAAGAATGTGGGGATGGGGTGTAAAAACATAAGGTGTTGTTGGGGGATAGCACGTTATCTCCTTTAAGCCACACACGTCATGTGGTCCTTTCTTGCTACCTAACTTGCCTGCCACCAACTGCCAAAAGCCGTTAAGACAAGCTAACGGCGAATCTATTTTCCGTTAGTCAAAGTCAAATTATCCTTAACCCAACCTACAAGCCACTTCAAATATTTTATTTATACGCTTTTATGTTACCATAAAAATGATCTTTTACCTGTCTTTTCCGTTGACTCGTTCACTTTAAGTCATCGTCCCCTTCACGTAAAAATAATACGACCATTTAATCCTTAAAATATGACGTAACGGATTGTTTTATTGTTCTTTTTATTATCACCGAGAATTCAACCAAACTGTCGCCACAAATCTGAAGCCTCCTATGCACATGTAGAAACAGAAGCGTAGAAGAAGTGGATGCAGATCGAGTTCATTAATTACTGGGTGAAGAGGAAGAAACATCTTACAAACAATTTAAGAAATAGACTGAGTTTATTGTCACTGAATCATTATGGAAAATTCTAAACTACTGAAAAGTATTCAATTGTTCGGCCTTCACCAATTTCGTACTTAATGGGTCGGAATGCACAAAGTTAGGAATGGATTAAAATCAATACCACGACTTCTCTTTCTTTCGAAAAGATCAAGGAAAAAATGACCATAATACCCACACAAGCCAAATCGTAATTTACTCTAAAAAGTAATTCAAATTTCAAAAAAGCCCAAATAGATGAAGCCCAAGTACTTATTGGGTCTAAACTTTCATTCTCAAAGCCCAAATACGAATAAAGAGAATTTTTTTTTATTCATCAAAGTAGTAGTTTTTTAGGGTAAGATAAAAAAAAAACAACCATTTTTTTTAAAGACTAGTGGTGTACCCACGTGATGCAGCGCGAATGAATTATAATTTTGAAATATTAGTTTAGCCTTGAATCAGTTATGTGGTTATTTTACAAGTCAACTAATATTTAAAGTTGAAGGTTAATATGATGTTAGCAAAATCGATTGGAAAAATAATTGCACACATGTTGAGTTTATAAACCCATATAAAGTTGAAAGGTTAGGATGAGGTACATGCAAGATCTGAAACCCTTTATGATATTATTGCTTCAAATTTCAGTTTACTTCAAAAGAAAGAAGAACTTTGAATTTGAATTAGGGTTCAAAATAGGAAACAAACAAAGTGTCAAACAACTTTGGAAAGACCAAACATATATTTTTATGTAACTATGGCTTACTTAAATCTAAAACTTCGACCAAACAAATGGTATGTTTTAAGTATTTGTACATTATGCATAATAGTTTGTACTTAAGAGATTTTTGAATCTCTTGCATAAATTGATAGTACTTTATGCTTTAAGACTTGCAATTAAGACTTTTGGTTTAAATATTTATTAACGTAGTGTGTGTATATATATATATATATATATATATATATATATAGGGTATATTTCTTTTACAACCTTGTGCATTTGTACAACCTTTRCAACCCAATTAATTGAGATATTTATAGAAATGATTGAAGTTCATTTATTATGATTTGAATATTTATGGAATATGAATAAAGTTTATTAATTAGGATTAATACTTTATATTAGGAAACAATTAATTGATTAAAAATTGAATGGTTGAGATGAGGGTTGTATAGGGTGTAGGAATGGCAAAAGATGTAGAATAACATCCCTATATATATATATATATATATATATATATATATATATAAAAGAAGAAAGCGGTCCAATGTGGTAATTTTAGAGATTTGTAAAGAGAAAACAAGTTTGACCCAATTAGGATTTGGTGTTGCATAAACAACTTGTATGTTGTCCAAAATATTTTGTAATTAAGAGATTTTTGAATTCTTGTATAAAATGAAGGTATTATATGCTTTAAGACTTGTACTTAAGATATTGGTCTAAATGCTTATTAATGTAGTATAGGTAACCAAATTTGCTTAGCAAAATTTGAGAAATCAACCTTTTTGGTCCTTTTAGTTAATAGGTAGGCTATAATTTTAAGGTATTTTATCAAACATTTATTAGATTAATGTTTATTGAGTGTCACTTATCTAATCAGATGAATATGACAAAACCAAGAATCTTATCCAATAAAAAAAACATAGTAAGAATAAAGAATCTTATTCGATAAATCAGATAATGATTTTTATCCAGCTAGCAATCATCGAGTAGGAAATTAAAATTCAGATAATTTTAAGAGGTTTTAACCTTTTTATTTAAATAAAAAAACAAGCATTCTGAAATGGTATATATCTGATCGAATAATTAGGAGGAAAACCTCACTCTTATCAGTAACCATTCGTAAACGATATTTTGAACAAAAAAACACTTTTTCCTTTGATGATGACGTGGCATTTTTTCATAGGCTGGGTGATTTATTTTACAAACTTCCATTTTTCCCCTTCCAAATCAATTTTTGACTTTCAGCTCCCTCGTTGATTACAAGAAGTCAAGAACCAAAACATACGGTTTTCTGTAATCAGTCATAATAAACAAACCCTCAAAATTCTAATTTTATTGTTCTTGGCGAAGCAATCACACAGTTCGTCGTGAAATATGGGTTCGATTTCGCTGTGGGTTTTGCTTCTATTCGTCAGTTTGTTCAATTACGATGTCGTTGCCGAGCAGATCTTCCCGACTCATACAGGTAACCCTCCAATTGTTCTGTGTCTGTGAAACTAATGTAGATTTTTCTTTTCAATCTTGGGTTTTCTACAAAAAATTTCTTTACGAAGCTCAAATTACATGTCGACTTTTTGGGGGGTGTTTCTTTTGTTATCAAATTCGAATTAGTTGGTGAAGCTTTTGGATTTGTCAATTGGGCATAATCTGTTTATATAAGTTTCTAATTCATTCATATTCGTTGCATAAAGTTTAAGCATTGAGATTATCGGGTCTATTTTGGGCTGTTTGAGATTTTTAGGGTTAATGCTGGACGTGGAGATTACCTATCGGTTGACCTCTATTCATTGTAGGGACTATACCTTTGACTTTTTTCAACATAGTTGATTTAGGGGGATGAGCTGATCAAAAGGGGATTCTTAGCTGAGGTTTTACATAATATGTATGATCAGAAAAAAAGCAAGCTTTGATTCATTCAACGAAATAGATGATGCTTACATGACATTAGCTATATGCTTAGTTGATAACATGCTTTATTGGTCATACGATGAGACCTTTCAATGGATATTGGTGTTCAATTGGGGATGATTTTGAGAAATTCGTGTGGGAAAGATGTCGACATAATGGGATGTTTAGGGTTTCATCATGAAGTATGCAAGATTGTGAAATCCAAAAGTAGGCGTTGATTGGAAGTGTTGAAAGAATAACTGAAATACTGGGGGTAAGGGATCCTATGAAAAGGTTTCATAGTTATATGTGCTCTTTTGAGCATGGAAGATACATAAAAGAAACAATAAAGATACATGTAATCATAGTTAAATTTGTTTATTGCTTGCGTTGTGCAAGCCTGAGTCTTCACTGAAACAACCTCTCTACCCTTGGGGTTGATGCAAGGTCTGTGTACATCTTACCTCCCATGACCCTACCTCTATGTGGGATATACATGGTTTGTTTGGTTTGGTTTGGTTTTTATAGTGAAGTTTGACTTGTTTAAGGTCAATCATCAATGGTCTTCTATCTTTATAAGTCGTACTTTCTGGTTCTCCCTGCCAACAAAGGATGATTGACAAACTTAGGTTATTCTATAACATGAATTAGAGAAGTAACCAATATAGTTCAAGAAACACTTTCGTAAAGTCACTTATAACTAAGAGTTGCTTCTAACCCAGTCGGTTCTTTTCACAACGCATCTATTAAACAAAACCAAGGAAGCTGGGATAAAAATACTTATGAGAAAAGCATGGAAGATGGAAATTGCATGATGTGGTGAGAAGTTATATCTATTTATGAGAATGAGAAGGTATGATCCATACAAAAAATTTTGTTATTTTGGTGAAACATATTATAAAGCACCAATGGGAAGCTATATTTCGAGGAGCCATGCCATAAATGGCTTTGACATATGTACCAAATCTCAATATTTTCCTAATTTTGCTTGCTCTAGTGACTGAGACATGCTTACGGTAACTTAGTAGCCTTCGGTTCTATCTCACACTCATGTATTGCCTGGTAAATTGCCAGGGACAGGCGCTAGTGGGTGGGTTGCAAAAGTTTCACCTGATTGGCATGACTTTTTAGTCTTTATTTGGAAAAAAAAAATACTTGCTTTCAGAACTAAGGTTGAATTTTGAATTCTTGATCAATGTAAAAGTTCATAGCATGTAGCTTGATTATGATTAACAGAATTTTCAACAACCCCCCCCTCTTATTATGATCAATGTACAACGTCGGAGTGCTTGGAGACATATAGATATAAGGTAGGGACCTGTAGCTAGTGTGGATAGGAAGAAGGGAGGTAGGGAGGGTGAGGGTAGGCTGGTAGCAAAGGGGAAGGTTTAGGGAGCTGGAATATAGCCATATAGGGTATCAAGGGCATGCCTCTAATTAGAGGGCTGATGTGTTTGTATGTGTTTCTACTTTGTGCCTTTTTCCTTTTTCTTCTTTTATATTGCTTTATTTTGTGCTAGTCTAGGTTATTCTTCATGCCCTTCTCTTATACTCTTCACTCACACTTTTACCCAAGCTGTGATCTTCTCAGAAACAACCGCTCTACCCTCTGGGGGTAGAGGTCAGGTCTGCATACATCTGACCCTCCTAGACACTGCTTTCGAGCCTGATATACCAGGGGTTGTTAAGTTAGATTTAGAACTTTCAACAATAAAAACCACAAGTTGTTGGTAATAGCATAGGTCCTATTCCTTTTAGCCATTTAACATATTGTTGTTGTGGATTGGCAATATGGTGAATTGAGATGGGATCCACAAAATGGAGAATCGAAAATGGAATATAAACGATTCGAAACTTAGCTATTTAGGGTTGACAACATGAGTTTCAAGAGTGAGAGGAAAACCAACGCTTTAATGGTTTCTCCCATCTTTAAGGACACTAGTATTGTGTAATATATGATTGTTATATATTATAAATGGTTGATTTTCAGGTGGTTTAAGTCGCAGCTCTCGAGAACCAAAATACGATATTGAGTTCCACACAGAAGATTCACCATTTCATCCTGTATGTGAGCATATCGTCATTTATTTGTAATTATGACAATGAACAAGTATATAATTTTAGATTTACCAAAAGAAGGAAATTTGAATCATGACACATCCCTGTAAAGAAAGTTTGGAATTTTTATGGAGATGGAGGGAACACTGATAAAGAAAATAAACAACAAACGTAACCAATTAACTATAAAATTCTAGAGAGACACAGAGAAATGAATTACTACTGGGTTTTGGTTGATACAAAATCTGGTAAACACACAAAACCTATATGATGTATGTGTGAATTTTCGGTTTTGCAGGATGATGATCAAGAATCGGTGATCATGCCGAAGAAAAACGGAGATAAGTTTCAGTGTTTCTTGCCTAAAGTGGAGAAATCCAAGAGCGGGAAACCGACCATACATCAAAACACGACCAGCTTAATTTTGGAAACCGAAAAACGCTTCAAATTGAAGACGCCGGATGAACTACTTGAAGCACTTAAGGACCGATGCTTTATCAGGGTCAGGACTTTGACCAAACTAAAAGAAATCACATAAATCAGCCGCCATATTTCTTTTTCCATTCATTTCGAGCTTTTAGCATTTTCAGTTTGTGGATTCCATTTACAAAATTGAGAAAGATGGGTAAAAGCGAACACACTTATTTTTCCTAGATATTTCCTGCAGCAAGAAGGTTGGTGGTCGTATGAATTTTGTTATCACAAGAAGCTTCGTCAAATTCACGTGGAGGATGAAAGGGTATGAATCTAGATGTATAATTCCATGTTTGACAATCATAAGCTTGTTTGAGCTTATTGAAAAAGCCCCTTATACTTTGTTACTATGTAGCGTTTCAATAAGTTCTAGGGGTTGTTTCCATATTTTTTCCAATTAATTTTTCACATCCTTTTAGGTCATTTTACATTGTCATCTAGCTTATCAACTTGTTTTTACCAAACATTATTTGCTAGCTTATAAGTCGACGGCTATCTTTTCAGCTAACAGCTAGCTTTTCAGCTAGTTTGCCAAACGTAGCCTAAATCTTGTTATACTTACTGTGGACGGTTTACCATCCTTCCTCCTTTCAGGTTGTTCAAGAGTTTGTGCTGGGTGAATACGATGCTGAAGCTACAGCTGCTTACAATCAGAACCTGTCTGATGTTTCAACGTTGAAAGATCCTCGATCAAAAGATGCATCACAGAGGTACTAAATGATTTATATGTATATATATATATATATATATATATATATATATATATATAGGCAGAATTTTTGTGAATATTTATCTTTTGAATTGTTCTAAATGATTAATGCAGGTATCATGCTCATCAATACACAAATGGAACCACTTGTGATCTTACAAACGAGCCTCGAGAAACTGAGGTCTGATGCAGTCGAAACATGTTTGCTCAATTTCGTATTTTTTAACCATATCCTGATTATGTTTTATTTATGCAATTTGCAGGTGAGATTTGTGTGTTCGGAACCTAGAGCTATGATTAGTTCCATCACCGAGTTATCAACATGCAAGTATGCACTCACAATCCAATGCCCAACGCTTTGCAAACACCCGTAAGTGCCCCTCTCTTTCGTTTTTTTATTCATGCACTTTGTTTTCTCATTATATCCTGTAATCACTAGCCAACCATAAGCTAGCTTATTATTTGAGCTTATTGAAAAAGCCCTGTTTGATAGCCTTAAGGTAGTTCAAATAGCTTATTGGGGCTTCTTTTTCACTTTTTTTCCATTGTCCTCCTTATATTTTACATAAATGCCCCTTATATATGTATATATATTCATTTTAGGTCATTTACATTGTCATCTAGCTTATCAGCTAGTTTTTAACAAACATGGCTTGTTTATGAGGTAGCATACGAGTTTATTAGCCAACAATTAGCTTATTAGCTAGTTTGACCACCATAGCTTTTCGTAAGGTAGAGAGACTTTTTCCAAAAAAGACCCCCGACACCAAGGGTCGCCTGTTGTTGGCAAGATTCCTTGAGCCCAATGACAGGTTGAGGTTCAAGCCGCATTAGAGGCAATTTTTTGTTTGTTTGCGTATACGAGCAGCCAATGAAGAACATATTAGATATCCAAGTGGTTTTCCCCCTTATGAAGGATAGTTTCGGCTTTGCAGATTGTTTCTAGAAGAAAGACCAGTTTGGCATACAATCAACTGTAACCCGCTCCCAAAAGATTACAAACAACCAAAAATGGAGGACGATATTATACAGGGACCCAAGATCGTAATGGTAACCGATAAGGAATCATCATCATCATCATCATCGTCGTCATCGAGTCTTCAATCAGAAGAACACGCAACATAAAGATGTACGCATATTGCACGCCATCTCCACATCGCTATAAAGGTATATCTTTGCAGATTAGCGTGAGATTAACCGACAGAAAGATATGCTGGTTGTGCCAAACAGTTTTATGATTTATCGACATTTTGAGGTATAGTTTTTTCAGATGATAATGATATATAGTAAACCTGTGGAAGTCGATGCTAGTCAAAAACCTATGTGGTGTGAATCTGGTTCAACGCAATGGCACCTTGTTTAATTGTTAGGAACAGCGGCAACTGCATCCAAATTTCCGTCTAACCGACATTTAAATTGCATATGATTTTACGTATTCTGGTGTTCCTTTGTTCGTGTTTCACATCGGTTCTTGAAAATGCTAAGGTGGCAATGTATTTTCGTGTGTCATAAGTTGAGATCGAATCGTTGGTAAAAGTTGAAGTCGATTATTTATTAGTTTTTAGCCCCAAGGGTAGCGCAGTTGCTTCTTGTAGGCTCTGGGCTCTAAAAAACCACCGAGAGGGTCGTTATGTATCTGATTTGCCTCTCAAAACCACCGAGAGGGTCGTTGTGTATCTGATTTGCCTCTCAAAACCATCGAGAAGGTCGTTGTGTATCTGATTTGCCTCTCTTAAAACCACCGAGAGGGTCGTTGTGTATCTGATTTGTCTCTCAGATAATGCTTTTGGGGCGACACTAAATGTTGAAATTGATCCAGGTTTATCAAAAATATAAATCATCTTAATGCAAGTTCGATAAGTATCTTATTAAGATAATGCTAGATTACAAAGATGTCGATTTTGACACTTGACTTATGAGCTCGACCAAAAGTATAGATAACAATAACGCTATCACGAATATCAGTAGCAAGCATTATGATTTCATCGTGAAATTTATCTACATTTTGTCATTTGTATGTACATTTTGGTATGTGAGACGTGACATGACAGATCAGATAAAAACACGTTGTCTCATGATTGAATATGTACATTTTAATTTGGAAAGAAAACTATAGAAGAATTCTGGCAGAGGAACAGTTGTTGTTTCTAGAGCACTGTAACCAGCACGAGATCAATCCGACGACCCCGGCCTCCCGTGGTTGTATCTTGTCTTCCTCTCGTCTTTGCAACACTCGCAAAAACTCCTCCCAGCTCAAACTCCCATCCTGATTCACATCGAACACGTAATATATTGTCTCGATCACATTATCACTTAAAACAATCCCACAAACCTGCAAAAAGGAACTCAGGTTAGCTTACAAATGGGAATAGAGATGCAAAAGCCCGAAAAGCGGAAGCCCAGGCCTAAAAGCCCGATAAGACCATTTTTTTTCAAAAGCCCAATCGGGCCTATTTTTACATCAGAAGCTCAGGCCCAGGCCCAAAAGACGTCGGGCTCTTTTTGCTTCAGACTCGAGCCGTATCAGATATTGTCCATTTTGTGACTCACGATTTTAAGACGCATTTGATAAATGAGGTATCCACTCCTTATAAGGCAACCTTAGTTTCCCTCGTCAATTGACGTGGAATCTTACACGGGCCTTGTGCATGTTTTAATTGAGAATATATAGGTAGATATGTTTGTTAGCATATGCGAATTTCACCTGTTCGATGGCTCGATGGAAATCCTGCTTTGTAAGGAGCCCGTTCACTTTGCCGTAACTAAAGATGGCGAGCGAAAGAGGTCTAAGTTGCGTTCGTAACTTGGCAAAATTCTTGAAATCTTCGAAGGTGATGCGGATGTTCTTGAGATTTGGTTCGTCGTTTAGTTGGTCGACTCGGTCAAGAAACTTGTTGATGTGTCTCATATCGGCAGATGCCACCATCGATAACGCAAAGTCCTTAGCGGATATAGTCCCTCTTGATTTGTAGTCGTAATGAGCGAATTCAAGCAACAAAATCTATAGAAAACGAAGATCAGACACAAGTTTCGGTGCATTAGTACAAAAATGATGAGGGGTCGTGGTTCCTTTTCACGTTTTAGGTATCGAGAGAGAGAGAGAGAGATCACAGACCTCATTCTGCAAATCTTTCAAGAATTGAGTGAATTTTCCGTGAGCGAGGCACGATTTCCCGTCTTTCCCGAAGAAATACTCGAGAAGGCCACCGTTTTCGACATGGGTCTTAACTTTAAGCCCAATACGCAGCCCATCACGATGTCGTGACCCTTGTCGATGTTGAGCTCGCATCAACGCCATTACTTTCTTGAATTCCTCCTTGTCGATTTCCCTGTTCGTAGTTTTCGAATACGATCTCGATAATTATTGCATAAAATGACGGAAACACGAGTACTAAATCAATGGAAACTTACCCGTTGTTATCAAGATCGAACATCTTAAAAGCTATGGAAAAGCTTGTTTCGGGGATGCTTAGTAGCGTAACGAAAAATATATATCTGTTACAACAATTCAATCAAATTTAGCGTCCGCAAACCTATTCGTTTAAGAATTTTCGAGTAAAAAATCGACACCACTTACTCAGCGAACGAGATAAGCCCGTCGTTGTTAGTATCGAAAAGCATGAAGAATTTCGAAGGCGGGCAATGTAACTCACTCGGTGCCCACTCTCCTTTCAAGCTTCCCTCGCGAATATGAGAAGCTTCAGAAGGGGGAAACACGGGCACCACGGCCCTCATCAAGTCTGACGGTGTCATAAACGGCTCACCATCAGGTGATCGTTGAGATGCAAAATACTCGAACACCTAGAGTTGCACAAAAACCCGTAACTTATTTGTGGTATTCTACATAAAGATTCGAATTCTTTTGGTCCCAAAATAAATGTCCACAATAAAAAACACACCATTTTAAAAATACATACTTATAACGCTTTTTAATTAATTAAACAATTATGCGTTCAATAATTAGGGAGTAATGAACTTTTCGATCTTACAATCAATGATAGAGTTGGAAAGTAGACACTTACTTTTGAAAATTGACACTTTATTTAGGACAAACTAAAATAGAATTGTTAATACTTATTTTATCAGAAAATAAATATAAAGGAAGTTCCGAGTACATACGTACCTTTTCAGGTGGACTTTGCGTTCTTATTCGCTTTTCGTACTTGAAGAAAACTTTTCTCCGATAAGCATCTGAGAAACGTTTTGTAAAATTAAAACTCACAAATGGTTTTTCATTTCTTCATTTAGAAAAGAACACGTAATGAACCACAAGGGTGGTGCCTGATTGGTTTGAGCTTGACTCAAAAGGTCAAAAGTATCAGGAGGTCCAAGGTCAAATCCAAGGAGGAATAAAAATCTCCTTGTGGCCACGAAAGTTCAAATGCGGTGACAACGGCCTATCTGCAAAGCAGGTGGTCGCCCTAAGATTAATCGACTCGCATAGCGGGTTGGATATCCAAGTTAATAAAAAAAACACGTAATGAGTATCATCTAGAGATGCACTCTAAACCAGCATTTTTCATGTCGGACTTTGATTAGATCTTATAAAATAAGTCTCATTAGACTTTTTTTTGGGTTGATCTAGGGGATGTAATTTATTCTTACCTCCAAAGATGTATTTAGGTTTCTTCTCGGATTCTGTGGACAGGTTGTCAGAGTCCGAGTCCGCATACACCATGTGAGAGTTCGGTTGGGATACAGAATTCAAGTAACAAAGCCCGAGGCTCAATCCGACTACAACAACTGTAGATGTTAGCGACTCAAGAAGCGATTCAACCTTCTTGTAATTAGACTTCCATCCAATGTTTAATCTCGAGGGTGAGGACAAATGCAATGACGAAAACGATGATTGGTTGTCAGATTTGGCGGAGATCAAACGGGCGTGGTCGTTGTCATGGCATTGAGAGGCGAGGGCTCGGCGGGTGGTGTAAAACGACGGTCTTTTTCTCAAGAACACAGAAGAATGATGCATAGTAACACAGATTTGTCGATTAGTTTGAATCAGTGAAAGAACAAAAGAATTGATGATATTTATTTGGGTAAAGAGGTGTGAGAGGAGAAAGGCGTGGTTGGTCGGAAAAATCTGAGCTGGAAAAATGGTGGTTCACTCATTGACTGAGGTTTTTTCTGTGGTAAATCGTGTTTTTTTGTCCTTGTGGTTTATTAAAAACTGCGATTTTCGTTCATATGATTTTGAAAATGCGGTTTTCATCTCTGTAATTTGCACTTTATTAATATTTTCGTCCTTAAGGCTAACTTTTATCTTTAAGTACGAGAAACAAAAAAACAGTAAATTGTAAATCTCAAAGACTAAAATAACAATAAATTATAGATCATTGTTTGATATTTTATAGGACTTTTATGTTGAACAGAGTGACACAAATCTGTTCTAATTCCATCCTATGGAACAAGGTGGAATAAACTTATATTTTACCAAGATTACCTCAAAATAAAATTTAATTCTCTTTTAAAACATCAAATACGTTTTCATTTTTACATTTTGTTCATTCTTTAAATTTTATTTATTGTATTTTATACTCATTAAATTTTTGTTTTAGTGTCCTCAAAATATTATTTTTATATGATTCTATATTTTAAAATACTTTATGTAGTTTTATTAAATATTATTAATGATAAAATAATATAGAAAAGAGATAAAATAAAAATTGGGAACCATATAAACCTTTTATTTTGGTGTCAATTTAATCATTTTGACAAAAAGTTTTCAAGGATGTATTTTGTTATAAAAAATATTTATTTTAATATAATTTAATAAATTACATAAATAAATCAAAATATATATAATAAAAACTCATTAGGGGTAAATTGGTCATTTTATTGTTCTTTTTTGTCCAGTTATGTATTACCAAACGTTGAACAATTGTTCTGTCATGTTCTATTTTGTCGTCTCCTGAGTCATGTTCTATTCTTTCCGGATACCAAACACACCTTTAGAATAATAATATTATGAATAACAATTAATAAAATCAAATGAAATTATTTATTATGTTCAATCTTTAACACCAAATGTTCCACATCATCCAAACTATCAAATTATTTATTGAGTTGTCTTTTCTTTTCAATTAATAAGGGATTTGGCCTTAATTATGACACTCCATGGTGTTCCATAACACACATTTGTACCACCCTATTATTTCGTTATAAATTTTCCTATAAATGATAAGAAAAACAGGGCAACTGCTATGGAAAAAGTAAGTTATAACTCAAAAGATGGTAGTTATGGACCATTTACAAAAATAAAGAGGCAAGTCCACCATAAACCTAGACAATGCGGAAATCGACCCCCACCATCTAATCAAGAATGAACATGTCTTGTCCCTAAATTCCATGTCACATCCTAATCCACCAATTACGCGAAGACAAATCATCACTTTATTAAATGAGAAATTAAAGAAAACATTAAATAGATTTAAATAAAATAAAATAATGACCTCTTGTACATGATTTTGGTCTATTAGGTCCCGTTTGGTTTGAAAGAATAGAATGAATTTGGGGGGATCTGTATTTCAAATTCATTTTAATCCCATGTTTGGTTTGTTGGATTGTTCAGATTTGAAATCTTATGATTTAATTGAAGTCCTTCAAAAATCCTTAGGGAATGCTCGGGATGTCACAAGATTTCGTATGATTATATGCAATAAGGTTTTAGAAAATGTTAAAAACATATGTTTTGTAATAATTGTTTAATAAAAATGTAATTCAATTATTTTCAAATTATTTATATTTTTTTTCTATAAATTATTTACAAATAATGAAATTCAATTTCATTTCAAATCCTACAAACCAAACACACCAATGATTTCAAATCCATTTCAATTCAAATCCCTCAAAAACAATCCTGTAAAAGAACAAAAAACCGAACTCAACTTCTCAAAAGTGCAATGTTGCATAACTACCACCCGTGTCACTTCTGCTACAATCACGACCACCACCGTCGACCGTCACTACAGTAGCAACCACCGGTCACCACCATCCTCCGGAAGAAAACCATAGAAGACGCATTCTTGTAAAAATTATTGTAAAGTAACTCACACATACGATGATACGCATATGGTTATTGATACCTGGTTTGCTTCATATAGACCCGTGAACCCACCTTAATGAAGACCTATCTAATTACTTTCAAAATAAAAAACAGCTATTTAAATTCAGAATTTGTCGATCATAAACAAAAACGACTCTTTGATATTCCTCTATAGTTTTAGTAACAATGTAACATGACCTCCAAAAAGATTCGGACGACTCTGTCTACGTTCATCATCGTCTTAAATCGAATAACATTGAAATATCTCAGTATTATTTGATATTTGAATGATATTATCCATTGACATGATTATGTAGATTGAGTTTCTTTTTCTTTTCAAATCATCGATTTCTTAAGTGATATGGCCCTAATTGTGACATTTCATAACGTCCCATATAACATGCATCTGTACCACCCTATTATTTCATTACTAATTTTTCTTAAATGACAAGAAAAATTTAGCTATAACTCAAAAGCTGATAGGTATGGACCAGTCACAAAAATAAAGTGGCGAGTCCACCCTAAACGAAGAGAATGTGAAGATCGACCCCTACCCTCTAATTAAGAATAAGAATCTCTTATTGTCTCTAAATTCCATGTCTATCCTTATCCACCAATTACGTGAAGACACATCATCACTTTATTGAAAAGAGAGAAATTAAGATATGTATCAAATAAATTTCAATAAAATAAAATAATGATGTATTCTTATATGATTAGTGAAATAATGAGCAGACATAAGATTTAGATACAAAAGATTTTTATTATGTAACCAAAACCCCACATTAACACCTCAAAAAGCAAAGCATGCGTGATCTGTACTGTCCCATACCTAATTTACAGTGTTTTAGCCTTTAGGCTTTTAGCCATTTAAAACGTTGGATGTTTAGTTTGTGCATCTTCGGCGTTAGGAATTCGTTGGCTTGTTCTTTAGCATGAATAGGTGACCTGTTGGTCCATTAAAGTCACTGAATTAGCCAACGAATCTGAAAATGAACGTTGTTGAAGAATTATCAGATAAAAAATCAAAGGATCTAGTATTCTTTTATAACAACTGTAAGATGGATATCATTTACTTCATTTTTGGTTTCCATATATTTGTATAAAATCTTTGTTATATTTTGTTATAAATGGTTCACATACATACATCCAATCAACAAACAATTACAAATGGCTCAAAATTAGTGTCTTTAATATCCCAAAAGTGTGTGTATATATATATTAAAAGGGTGCTCGTATAATATAGCTAGATATATCTCAATTTTAATATTTTAATTTATTATTTATCTATGTTGATATAGTACGGATTTGAGAAAATGATAATGCTTTTATTTTTGAATAAAATATAAATTTAAATATATAATAAAAATTTGAAAAAAATATATCGATATTAGCATCAAATTTACTATTTAAAGTTCTGGTTTTTTGTGTAATTTTCTTAACTCAACATTTTATTTATAATTTAATTTAGATTAATAACGAAATAATTTATTTATCGTTCAATAGTATAATTGTTATAAAGATAATAATTAAGTATTTGTTATAACTAATGATTATCCTAATTATATTTTAGATTCTTTATATTTAAAATGAAATGTCTATCCCGTATTTGATTATGTTTATCTATAGTTAGTTRCACAAATTCAAAAATGAAGCTTTAATAAGTTATACTTACGCACAATTTACTTGTAATCTTGAATTTTAAGTAATATACATCAATAAACAGTACTTTATGCATAAAAAACAGTTTTAAGAGTTTTTGTCAAATGTTTTATAATATAGTATAGATATGTATATATATATGTGTGTGTATATATATATATATATATATGTATATATATGCATGTTGTTGTTGAGTTGAAGTGAGCATGTGATCATCTATGAAACCAGTTGGCACCCTTAAAGAGTCTTACTCCATGGAAGTTAGGTCATTAAAATCAAATTAATTGTCTAATTGATTGCTGCTTCATTTTTCTTTTTCATATCTATATATACAATATGGGTAGGGTTTCATACACTGAGAATATATGAATAAAACCTTTATATATATATATATATATATATATATATATATTCATCTATATTTAACTATATTCATTTATGTGTTTTTATCACTATGACTGAAATTATAACAAATTCCCACACGATATGTCGTCTATAGCTCAAAAGAATGTTCTCGGCATTCCCACTATAGCTCTTATTCTCACACGATACATTGTCTATGTACAATGAGATAGAAATGCTCATGAGTTAGGTTGATCGGGTTGAAAACATTTGAACAACATGACCCAATGCTTGCAGTTTGAAAAATCTCAACCCAACCCAACTCAAACCGTACGGGTTGGTCGGGTTGACACTTTGGTATATCAAAATCTTTTTCTAACATTGAATATGTTGTTTTCTCCGGTCTACTCATAATTTTTTTTTCATCATCAATCATTTGGTACAACTTATTTATATTTCTTAAATCTTAAGTATATCGCATTCAATTAGTTTTCTCAATTTGCATATATATATATATATATATATATATAGTTATTGAACATATATACAAAGTAGTCATATAAAGATAGAGAATAGATTGAAAAAATATGTATATAAAGAGAGTACGTGATAGTGTAATTGTCTAATATACATATTAATAGAAACTCAACAATCATATTAAATCCAAGAAATAAAAAAATATCAGGTTCATCGTGTTGAGTTGAATTCAAAATAAAAGTAACTCAATATCATCTCAATACTTTGAGTTTGAATATTTTACAACTTGACAAAACATCCGGTTGTTTCAGGTTGAATTATTTTGCCTCAGGTTGATCGGGTTTTTGAGCACCCTTACAATAAGGGCCGAATTCAAATAAAAAAACTAAATAATGTGAAAAAGTAAGAATGAAACGTTAAAAGAAAGTTTATGTATAAATCATTGAAAAAAAATATATAAAGATGCATATATGAACCAACGTTACAGATTATTCATATGAATTCAGATACAAATGTTAGTAATTATGTGAGTTCAATAAAGACATCATAATAACTAAAACCAGTATATGCAACTCTCAAATAGCAAACCATGAGTCCCTTTTGGGTGTCATCTCATTTTCACCATCTACCTTTTTACTGCATAATGTGATGTCTCCAACTTTTTGTGCACTTCTCAACTAACCATTTAAAACTCCATTAAAACACTGATCAAACCATGAAAGTTGGATATGGACCACACACCTCACCCACTCTTTGTACTACATATTAATACATTTTAACTCAACCATAAACCTGAAACAGTATGTCCGTAAACACTACAACAAAATTGATAAATGTCTTAATAGACTGTTTTATTGGACTAAAACAGCTACGTGTTATATGTAAAAATGTTACAATAAGTTTATAGGACATTTCTAGACGTCTTGTCAAGTATTAAACATTTAGATATTTTTGTGGTTTTATAACCCTAATTTTGTTGTTTTAAATGTTACTCTTTATATGGTGATTGGTGAATGCCATAACTAGCTTCTTATATATAGTGGAGATTGAGTCAGTTTTTGTGGAACTACTCATGGTAGCCATGGATTGGTACTCATGGTTATCGAAAACCAATCTCGACCCGTACTTAGTTTACGAGTACGGACGGATGTTCACGCACAACGAGCTTCAAAGAGGAGACACCACTTACTTCAATCATGAGTTCCTTCAAAGCATGGGAATCTCTGTAGCCAAACACAGGCTAGAGATACTGAAACTTGCAAGGAAAAGTATTGGCGGACGTCCGCAGAATGGCTTTTCAAAGCTTGTTTCTGCTATTATCAAGACCAAAATGCTGCTTACCAAGAAACTCGGGAGATGCGTCTACCACAAACCGGCCCATACGCCAAGGCCCGACAACAACCCGTTTAGACCGCAGTGGCCCAGTAGTAATCTAAGGAAGAACATGGGGTTTGAGGAGGATAAGGAAGAAAGAGTGAAAAAAATGATGAAATCTGGACCATTGGACAGGATGCAAGAAAGTATTTACATGAGCCCGAAACGGGTTTTAAGCGTTTCGGGCCCGCTTGATAGGAAGGTGCACGAGAATCTGATGTTGATGTACAGTAGTCCGATGGAGAGCAAAGCGGCTGGACCCAACATTTCGGGATCGGTAGACGTTATGGGTTACAGTAGTCCGAGAATCGGGATTCCGTGCGGGATGGTGAAGACGGGTGAGGAAGATGATGGTATCCCTTCACTTTGGTCTTTAATGTTTCAAGATATGAAACCTACTTAAAATTAACCATTTGCAGCTGGTGGTTGTGTATTTGTTTCAACACCAAATGTTTCTTTTTTTGCATTTCATGTAAGTTTTTTTCTGAGATTTTACATATCAACATTTATTTACGGTGCCTACTAATCGTCGAGAAATCTCGACAAATACTCGTACGTAGTTTCTCACATTTGGTGATGTTTGAATCCGTGACTAATTAGAACGTTCGTCTCTACCAGCAACATGGGTACCGCTCGGCCAGTGATGTATCGGTGAGAAATGAGAACGGTTTCTTGGTACATACTCGGCGTGGTGCCCATGTGACGAATCTGTAGATGAAAAGCAATCCGTTCAAATGAAAATCCCGGTTTCTTGGTAATTCAATCATGTATGTGTACCAAAATGATGTCTTAGTGAACTGTATCGCGATGATACCCCCTTTAAACGGAGACTAGATGATCCCCCTATGACGAAGATTGAGTCGAATCGGGGGTGTTGACCGCGACTCGAACCATCAATACCGCAATGCTGCCACTATTTTTGTCCATAATCCATTCTGTTTTGTTTAATTAATATGACACGAAAAGTACAAAACAAAACAAAGATACTCGACTCAACTGGCAAATAAAAACTAGCGTTTAGGCTCCTTCTTGTTGGTTGTGTTGGAAATTTTAGTGGGTTGGAAGTCTGTTTTCCATTCCTAGCTTATAAGGCTTTCTTTATAGTTGGGCTTTGAACATATATATGGGTAGACTCATGATGGGGGTCTTGAGTGGAAGGCCCAACGCACATGCGCGGGCACGAGAAGGCGCACTTTGCATTGGAGCAGAAGGAGCCTCTTCCCTTGCTCCGAGTATCTTTTTGGTATATCATCGAGAGAGATGGAAAGCGTTTTTCGAAAAATCGGATTTTTAAACCGATTTGACCACGTTTTCTCGGAGATAAAGATTGTTAGAGGATAATCCTCCAACTTACCATGATCATCAAATTTTTGGGGATGAGATCGTGGGGTTTTTTAGGGTTTCCCCCAGTATAAATACCAGGTAGAAGCCTCCGGCCTATAGATCACCCTGAAAATCATCGGTTTCCTCTCTTCGACTTCTGCTCCTACCAGGGACGGACCCAGAATCTTTTTTAAACGGTGGCACCATTTGACCATAAGAAAAAAAAAATATATAAATTCTTTTTCAAACGGTAACACCTTTTGACTATAAGAAACAAATATACGGAATTTTTTTCAAACGGTGGCATCGTTTGAATATAAGAAACAAATATACGGAATTTTTTTCAAACGGTGACTAAGAAAATGACACTAACATGATTCGGACTTGGGTGTGGGGTGGAATAAAAGCTTTGCAAACCAACTTTACCAAATAAAACTTGTTCTCATTGTAGTTTCAAAATACATACGGTGGCACACAACAAATTAATACGGTTGCACCGTTCACGAAACCTAAATTTTTTACCCTTTGGCGGAGAAACGAAACGGTGGCACGTGTCACCCATGGCACCTAACTAGGTCCGCCCATGGCTCCTACCAGTTCTTTCTCTCTACCGATTTCTGCATCTATCTTGCCTTAATTTTTCGTTTTCATCGCTGTTGATAAACGAAAACGTGTGCTGCATCAAATCCTTAGGCTTCGCGATTAGCAGACTCACAACGTACAAAAACTAGTAGTAAAAACCTTTGAGGACAGGCTTTACCATGCAGATTATGATTCAACGACAGATAAATCAGGTTGGTTTTAAATTTTCGTGCATTGTATTTAATTTCAGTTCACTAATAAGTGAACAACTCTGTTTCTACCCCTTTCTTTCATTAAATCTATCGCGGATAGATTCAATTCAATGTGTGTGAATTTACATATTGTCGAGGTAAAAACATTCATCATACAGATGAAAAACTTCCGTCAACACGTTATACGTTTATTGGATTTTGTTGAAACACATATGCACATAGATACATATATAATGCAGTATCTGAACTTAGAGCTCTATATAAATCTGTACGGTGACGAACACGTTATAAGACGATACTTGACACATTATAGAGGCCCTTGTCGTGTACACATTTAACGTCTGTATCTAGCAATACTCATGAACCAATTCTCGCTCCAAACAACTTGGACCAGTATTTAGTTGTTGAAAGTTCTCCGAGAAAAATAGATGTGTTGATCGATCAGTGGTTTGGACTTCGCAGCCTAAATGAACCACTGCCATAAAGTAATTCATAAACCGGCTTCAATCTTCTTGTCAAGATTATACTCAAGATAGTTCCGACACTGCACAAGCCGGCCAAAACAAAGAACGTCAACCTGAAACAATTTGGACCCAAGCAAGACACAGAGTTTTGCTTCGAAACCTCATAATCATATATATTTCCGGCTAGAAGACCCGAGAAGAGGAAAGCGCCAAGAGGGTTCCCTAATGATATGACATTGTAGAATATACTGAAGTTTTTCAGCCCGAAAAGCTCAGAAGTAGTCGGGATCATGATAGAGAATTGTACACCATAACATATCCCTAGTAACGAAGTTGTTGCATAAAGGGTACCGCGGATAGCAGAAGCAAACATAAGGTATGTAACAATCATCAGGACTTGCGTGCATGTCATCCAAACGGTTCTTGGAATGCTTCTTGACCTGACATAAAAGAAACATTTGCTAAACTCGGGATAATACAGTTAAAGAAGTATCTAGATTACATTTTCGATGATGAAAAAAGTACTACAATGAAATATAGTTTTATAGGACGTCTGATATGTCTAAATGTTCTTATACACTGCTTTATAAGACTAATGTTCTATAAAAAGGCTAATAGAACACTTTATTTTAAAAGTATCAAATTTTTTAGGAATCCCAAACGCTGTCTCATCAACTTATTGGAACACTTTTACATTGGATGCATAATTGTTTCACCTATAAAACAGTCTATTAGAACATTTAGACATATTTGGTGTCCTATAAAGCCGATTTTGATGTAGTGAAAGTAATGCAGACCTGGCAAAATGTTCAGAAATGGCACCACCGCTAAGCCGCCCAACAAAATTACAAAATCCAAATAGACACAATAAGATTGCGGTGTTGTGCACGCCTTGAGCTATCCCGATTTGGGCCAGGTTATTTAAAACAGTAACTCCAGAACCAACACCTACAAAGTAAACCAAAAACAGAAGCCAGAAATCGGCCTTTATTAAAGCTTCACTGAACTTAAAATCATCTCCTCTTCTTGGTCGCAACCTTCTCCTTTCAGCAAGAAGTGAATCCACATCTGATAAACCGTCATTTTCATCATAACTTCCGGGATCAGTTCTTGAAGAAGTTGGTTCAAGTAAAGGGTCCGTTCTTATTTCTTGAACTTTGTTTATATCGGGTGGAGTTGAAGGATAGAAGGTCATTTTTATAGGGATAGCAAGTGGAGCCATGAGGAGAATTACCATAAAAACAAGAAATGTCCACGATATGAGGGAACTTAGTGAAAACATGTCGCTCAAAATCGTGGTGGTTAGGAGATAAATGCCGAGCATAATACTTGCGGCTTGAATAAAAAGAAAATATGCATGATCACTGGAGTTGTCCGCAGAAGAAGGCACACAAGGTTTAACGAAATACATCAACACAAGAGAAAGTGCAGGAACCACGAGTGCAAGAAATAGTAAGAGCATAGAAGAGGATTTGTGGAGCAAAATGGCGTAAATTTCGGTATACACAACAGCACCCAAACCCCCGTAGCCTTTTAGGATTCCAGTAATAATACCCCGACTGAGAGGGAAGTTTCTCATGTTGGTCGCGAGAACAGCCGTAGTAAACCAAGCGTTGCTGTTTGTTGCAACACATAATGCAATCCATAACTGCCGATTCAAAGCACCAACAAGTGATAGTGTCGGTATTACTAATAACAGACAATTATAATTTTAAGAAACAAAAAACACAATATTTACGTAGTTCAATTAACAACTTCTCTATTTCACAGTCGTTGCTACAGTTAGTAATATAAGGAAGAACTATCTCTACTATAAAAAGGAAAACAAATGGTAAATACATAGAAGAATGAACTATATATCATCCTAATTCTCAATTATTATAGCCTCTTCTTTTACAAAGTTTGGGCCAAGTTTGCTGTAGAGTCTCACATCGACCATTTCTCCGCCATATACGTTGGAACCTCCATTATCACCTAAAGGTCTCTTTTTTGAAAAGTAATCTAGGAGTTCCAAACATTATCGCATAGTATCAGAGCCAAGGTTTACAGTCGAGGGAGTCGACACTTTGTATCCCCTCACCCGTCTAGCCCGACACTTAAGGATAATTTGCGCCCGTCTAGTATCCGTTGGAGGAGGCTCCATATCTAAATTATAAGATTTAGACAAATTTTGTTGCCATGTAGCATTATCGGTTATCACCAAGTTTGGTCATATATCCAAACTGAATTACAGCCCATCACAATTAACAATAAGAAGGTGCTTACATGATTGAGTAATTTTCCTACATGCAAAGTTCTTCACTACTGGACTACTGGTAACTGTAGTTAACTACAAGAAACAGTCATGAACTCCTTAATTATGTATAGATTATGAGATAAAGATTGCATATTTCCATTCTTTCACTAAATAACTAATTGAAGTTCCAAAATTGGTTGCAACTAAGTTAGAAGTCCCTGAAAGAAATCTGTTTCATGATTTTGAGCTGAGGGCCAGTCATCATAATTCCCTAAAAAGTTAAAGAATCTGCATATAACATAGATTCCGCCAATGAAGTTTAATACTTTTACCATAGAAATAGCTACCCATTAGACTACAATACCCATTTACGCAAATCGTCGAACACATTACATACACTACATAAATTGACTACGTACTATGTGTAAGCAAAGTTAAAGTGATCAGAACTCACCAGCCAATAAGGCAATGAATCGATTGTATGAGTAAGTGCAAGCCAAATAACTCCATAACCCGAAAAGCAACACAAAGCACCGATGAAAAGGACTACCCATGTAGGGAACTTGTTATAGAAGATCCCAGGAAGGATACCAACGTTTTCGCCAATATCATTAGCCACTCCAAGCATCGTCAGCTGTCTTTGATTAAACCCAAGAACGGATTTCAAGGAATGAGAATAGAGAGGGAAGTTATAAGCATTTGCAGCAGCTATTTGGACCCAAACAGCAACTCAAAGACCCACCCATGGTGGTCTCGTCCCAACCTTTAGATGTTCTAAGCTTGCCATTGAAGGGTAGTGGATCTGTTACCGAGAAATTCATGAAAAATTTGTGGTGAGATAAAGGCGAAGTGATGAAATTAGAGAGAAAAGACAAGTGGAAGGTGAGGGTCTCCATGCAAACGTTTGGGTGTCGATCAGAGGAGGTTGATAGATGGTTGCTTGTGAATGGACTCCATCTCGTATCTCCATTGACGTTTTTCTTGCTTCAATCAAAACATTATTAGTGTCTTTTTCCCAAGATAGATGTCCGACACACAACAAAAAGGGCAATTATAGTAAATTACTTTTTTAGTCCCTATGGTTTGTTAAAAGTTATAGATTTTGTCCTTGTTGTTCAAATATTTCGATTTTAGTCTCTATGGTTTGCAGTTCATTTATATTTTTTGTCTTGAAACCAAAAAACTACTTTTAAGTATGAAGAAATAAAATAGAAATAAATTATAAACAACAAGAATGAAAAAAAGAATAAAATTTAAGTCATAAGGATGAAAAGATAATGAATTATAAACCATAAGGATGAAAATCATGACTTCAAAACCATAAGGACGAAAATAGAAAATTTCAATAAACCTTAGAGACTAAAAACATAATTTACTAATAAATTTATATCCCATAATTAAGCATGGAAAGTAGATATTTAGGGCCGTTTACCAAACGTTTACCCGGGTAAGCGTTTATCAAGTAACGTTATCTCATTGGATGAATATAGTAAGGATTAAGAATCTTACCCGATAAGAGCGAGACAAGGACCAATTGTCTTACTCGGTAAGTGAGGGTGACGACTCTTACCACGGTAAACGCTTACCCTGTAAATTGTTGCATACAATGTCGTTTTGGTGGACTAAATCTTACCCGATAAGTAAATAATAGTGTTAAATTTTACCGGTAAACACTTACCGGATAAGTGTTTGGTAAACGGTCTCTTAATTTGGAGAGCAAGCAGTTATTTTGAAACAAATTAAAATAGTAAAATTGACATTTCTTTTAGGATATAGTACAAAAATAAACAATGCACCAACTACCCAAAACCAGAAGGCAACATTATTCAGTGTTTACTATATAGATATTAACAATGTACCAATTACGAAACTACCCACAATCGCCAAGGGAGCGTTAGTGTTTAGTATATAGATTCTCTTGAATACAGTAGATGAAATAGAGTTATGCGGGTGAAAAAATAGTAAAAAAATTAGGGTTTTAATTTGTCATTGTAGTTTAATGATTTTCATATATCTGTTTGATCTCTTGATTTCCAGCTATTTTGACACGATAAAAATGCTTTCCAGATTTCCAGTATAGTTCAATCATGTCTTATTCTAGTTTAATGTTACGTCAAACAGAGAACAAACTTTTTTTTTGTTATGTTATCTCCCCGTTAAAAATTTAGTTTATTATATCAATTTTCTATATAAATATGTTACAATATTTTCAAATTTAATAAACTTGTGTATTTATTAATACTTAAAATAATATAGATGAATAAAAAGAAACAATAAATCATATTACAATTTTACAGATGACAAAAAAAAGTGATTTTTTTTATTAACCTGAATATCCAACCCGCTATGCGAGCCGACTAATTCCAGGGCGACTACCTGTTTTGCAGGTAGCCCGGAGTCACCGTATTTGAACCTCCGTGGCCACAAGGGAATTTTTGTTTCTTCTTGGATTTGAACCTGGAAACTCCAGGCACTTTTGACCCTTGGAGTCAAACTCAAACAAATCAGGCACCACCCGTGTGGTTAAAAAAAATGATTTTTGGATTGTATTGATGTAGAACAATTAGATAGTAATCAGATCGGTTCGATTTAATTGAATTCTAAACTTTCATTTAAAAACCACATGATTCAATTTAGATGTTGAAATTTCGAATATGACTCGATCAATTTTTATCAGTTGAGTTTAATTGGATCAGATGAATTATTGCACACCTTTATAAAAATATATATATATATATATATATATATATTCAATTCAACTGCATATGCCTAACATTGATTGGTACATGAGTACTATTATTATCGAACATATAATATTCATCCAGAAAAACTCGATAACTGTTGTATCAACCAGTTTTGCTGACTGTTCTTTATTGCATCTTAAAAGAAGCACACATGAGTGTTATTATATTCATTATTAAATTAAAAACGAAATAAATATAAAGTTCTCGCTTACAAAAAATCGATGCAATACTACTTCTGATCTTGGACATAGTTTAATAAAAGGAATGAACAATAATCAAAACGACATTTAATCGTGTCAACAGCTGTAGTAGGTTTTTAACAATGAATTTCAATGAAGTTAAAATATTCCGCAACCAATTGTCAAGCGATGTCATCTTTTTATATATATATATCTTGGACCCTCCGCTTTACACTTTGTGCTTTTGCTTATGTCTACCATCGTCGTTTATCTGATGAATTCCTTTATAAACATTTCACAACGTCATTTAATAATTTCGACATCAGCTCGCCTTTTAAAAAATCATACAAGTCAAAGTCAAACTTGTTCTTTAATTAAAACTAGATACAAGGACATACATACCGTATAAACAATCACTCTAACTGATATTTTTTTAGTTGGATCAGATAAAGATGGGTTTGTTGGATCTATAAATCCTCAGAAAAACAACAGTGACTCACCATTTACGTTTGTTCTGGAAGGGGTTCATAGAAAAAGTGAGGACCCATTTGGTTTGCGGAATTTGATAGGATTTGGAGTTGAATTTCATTTCAAAATCTTATATTTGATTAAAGGAAAATTTGGACTTGAAATCTAACAAACCGACTGAGTTAAAATAAAATCCCTTTAGAATGACTGTCATTTCAAATCCAAATCAAATGAATTTCAATTATTTTCATTGCATCTCAATCCTTCTTCTATCATCAAATGTATTTAGGTAAAGTCTCTTCACCATTTTACCAACCTCTATATATATATTATCTGACATGTAGTTTAGTTGGTAAAAGGGTGAAGAGACTTTACCTAAATACATAACAAGTCAATGGGTTTGATCCCAGACTTTGCCTCAACAGTTGATGAGTAAAAAAATGTCACATTACATCGGTGTCCTTGGAGACGAGTTCCGTGTGAGACCGGTTAGGATCGTCACTAATCAACTTTTTCCCTGAACACACACACACACATATATATATATACAAAGTTGGGTTCACGTGAGACTACATTTTTTTATGAGATCCGTGAGACCACTTTTTACATATGAAACTTCACAGCAAAACGTTGTAAAGGTAAAAATAAGCCGAACCTTCACAGAAAAAACACTGTGAAGGTTACTTTCATCGCATTCTACTGTGAACTTTCAAATGTAACGAAGTGGTCTCACCGATCTCATAAAAGCAGACTGATCTCACATGATCCAAGTCTCTCTCTATATATTAATTTTTTTTTGATGAAACCATATTCATAATTGCATATCAAAGAGTAACTTGGATTCTTTTCTTTGTATGTATTCAATTGTTTTTGGTTCTCGTAGATACCTAATCATTGGTGTCCTTGATTCATTCCTTGGGACCCGCTCATATCCTCTATCCATGATGGTCTCGTTCTCATGTTCATATTTGAACTTGTTTATTTTTTAATAGTTTTATTTATTAAAAGATGAATCTTGTTTTGTAAAAAAAAATATTGTTTCTAATGATTTTAAAACTCTTTGAATAATTTTGTATCATGGATCTTTCTTAACCATTAAGTGCCTTAATTTTATGGTAAACAATTATCAAACAATTATATTTCATTTTGCATTATATCATGAGAACCAGTAACTGTCAAATATCTCCTTGTAGTTTTATTAATTAAAGTCAAAAGAATCTAGTAATCATATTAAATGATCCGTAAGTCTAAAAAATTACATCATCTCACGTCTTTTCTTTTCTTATGTTCTCTTTTTTTTAATTAATAGATAATAATAATTACTAGTATATGGTAATTATAATTTTTTTTTGTATTATATATAGATTAAATTTAAAATCAATAAACTTGAAAAACAATATGTCTTGTTATTTATAAAAAATAATATATCATTTACTTCGTAGTTTTACAAATTTTAACTATATGGATATGGTCGTATGGTTTGTCTGTATAAAAATCGATTAAAAATTGTAAAAATCCGTACACTAGTCCTTATCTTTCATTTTATCTATATTTTCATGGAATATCATTAATCATTCTACAACTTTAAAAATTTAGAAAATGACAATTCATCTTTTTCCAGCTTTAAAACTTAAAGAATAACCAATCAATTCTTGTTTAAGTTTTTGAATATTCAAATAATAGTTTCATCAGTTTTTCAACAATCTTTAAAAACTTAGGTATTAACTTGTCGCCTTTTGTTAAAACTTCAAATATAAATTAATTTATGTTGTATTATATTTTATTTATAAAAAATAATATTGTTGTAACAAAAATATATATAAAAAAGTACCATTAAATAATAATTATTATTATAATAAATACAAAATGATGTTAATATTGAAAAAATTATATTAATAGAAATTTTTTTTATAATTTTAAAATAAAATAATTTGTTTTTTATATTTGTATTCTTGTTTACAAAACAATATTTTTTTTATCTTAGATATTAAATATTAACACAAAATAATAATAATTATTATTATTAATTATAAACAAAAAAATATATAATATAACAATACTACAGTTTCACAACAATAACAATAATAAGAATAAAAATAATAATAGTAATAGTAATAGTAATAATAAGAGCTTGATAAAATGAAAGAAAAATATTATTAATAATAAAAAATAAAAACAAAATATAATTAAAATACAAATAAAGTTGAATCACGATGTAATCATTAAATTACGATAAACTCTAGATAGGGATGGGTGTCTTTAACATATAGTTAGGGGTACAAATATCTCCACCCTAATTAGTTTATATTCCTTTATTGCTAGTGATGACTCGTCATTTAATAATGTTTGACCGATTCTGTATATTTGGGATGTATAAATGTTATTTTAATAAGTAACTACTGTGTAATTTGACTTGATACAAAAGCTATGTTTAATATTAATGGATCTGAGTTTTACATTCAAGATTGATATACGCTCCACCAGTTTTAACATCATTTTCAATTGCCAGATTTAAACTTGATTATTAATTTATGAGAT